TACTCAAGTAAACTTTTTTGACTAATTATAAAAAAGTATAACATGCTATTAGACTCGTCTTATAAGAGCTGTAAATGTTAGATAATTTAGATTATTATGAAATTATCTATTAAATAATTTCTTCCTTGTTCTATAAATAATTGTAGTTCAACAAACCTCTCCACCTGAAGAACCTCCAGGGGTTTTTCGCGTGTCATATGGATTCCAGGTTGTGCCAGTCACGTTGTTATAAGTTTCCCAGCACATACAAAGTTCCGGTGTATTGCTGACAAGAAGAATAATTCCACCAGCTTTTTTGACACGTTTCACTACATCAGCATCATTTGATGCGACAATCCGCTTGTTTGTCGTTTGTCCAGCTGAATGACTCATTCCTACCAATAAAAGCATAATTATATACATACGTTAATTGATCCCCATAAATCATTGACTTTATAAAATTTAGCTGAATAATTATTTATGCAGTGATTTAAAAAGTTTAGTTAGTTTTAGAAATAGCTGATATTTCAATTACTATCAGAGATTTAAAAATACGTAGAAATTTTTTAATCAGAAAATCAGATAACAGTTCAGAATTTTCTATTAGTGACCAGAATATTCTTCTCTATCAATCAGCTCCATTATCGTCAATTTCAGCCTACAAGTGAGCTCAATTTAACTATATTCTGTTGTTAAATCCCTCCCAACTGTATCGTGACTTGTTTCATCAAAGCTCATTAATTAAACAAGTACTTTTCGTTATTTTTATATCATTAAGACATAAATAATTCTACATTTTTTCTCGAATAAACAAGTAAAACTCGTCTATTTCTATTAAAATGCCATTTCGAGTATTAATAAATTTAAATTCAAATTTTCCAGTGAGTTAACTGATAAACAAGATGTATTACGTTTTTCAATTCACATTTCAATAAATGTTTGCATTTTTTCTTTATGTGCTACAACGATTGAATGATTATAATAATAATAGACAATCACAAGCATATGTAATTGACCTTAATACAAATGAATACTTAACATTACTTTCCTTAACGGTTTTTTTTTATTTTTTTATTTCAATGGATTTCTAAGGATGATCCTTTTCTAAATATTCTTAATAATTTAAATAATTTTTATCATGAACAATATAAAATTGTTAATTGATTTATTTAAATAAATTGCAATTTGTCTTTATATATTCAAGTCAGTCCAAATAATTCAAATTATTATTGGGCAAAAATTTAAATGATCAATGGTTGATTATTCATCATACAAGATATTTTAATTTGCTTTAATAAATGAGTCTTAACGTATTTCAATAAGACATTGTGAGACTTTGGCACTAAACCGGGTTTTGAATGATTGTTATTGAAATAGAAATAGGTGTAGAGTTATGAAAAAAACATGAATACTATAATCATTTCATGTCACGTAAAACGTATTAAAAAATTAGTCTTGCCTTTAACTGAAACACTCTCTTTAACCGTCACCGGTATACCAAGTAGCGGAGTGTCACGAGCCAACACTTCTTCGGTTTTTACTCCAGATTTTATGAAACGGTCAACATCACGTGCTTCCTCAAGAGCAGCTTCAAAACGATTCTCTACAATCGCATTAATCACTGGATTGACTTCTCGACATCGTTGTATATATGCTGTCACAACTTCTTCACTGGTTAACTGTACATAGCAGAAGAGAATAAATAAAATAAATATTAAAAAGCAATGGTCTTTTTTTCATAATTTTTATTTCATAAAAAATAGCTTTTTAATCTAAAATTACCTCTTGACGACGAATTTTTGTAGCCAATTCATATAATGGAATATACAGAATTTTATTAGTAATTGGGGGACATCGTTTTATTTTTTTGAAAGCTTTCATTTTAAGAAATGGTGTTGTTGAACATTTAACTAAAAAAACGAATGCTGCCACTAAAAATTTGATGGTGGTATTCAGCGTTTCCTAGAAAAAAAAAAATATTTCATTATTTATTCAATGCATTAAGTGCTAATATTAAAAATAATCATGTTTGTAGAATGATTATTTATTATCTATGAACATTGCTTAGAAGCTCTACAAATACACATTAAGCTCATCAGACTCAAGCAAAATACAGTCACGTTTTGCTAATTAAAATACATTTGTTTCGATAATAAAAACGTTTTTTTTCAGAATAATAAGAAAATTAAAAAAAGAAATTAATTATATAAGAAAATTGGAAATACATTTACCTATTTTTACGTTATAAATAAAAAAATTTTAAGAAAATAACTGGTTGATTATTGACAATTACTCAAAGCTTTATACAAATCAAGACAATCATAATAATCACAAAAGATAAAGGCAACGATTAAAGTCAGAAGCTAAAATAAAAGCTCAATCGTAGTTTCCTTACCGCATAATTAAGTCGTATATTGAGATAAAATACAGACAAAAGTGATAAAGCTAATTCCATTTTTCCTTAATTCCAATGATTTTCCTGAATAGTGTCGTTTCGAATAATTATCGCCAATTATATTTTCTTATGTTGAAATACTTGAAACAAATAACTATTGATAGAATAATTTTTTCAATTATTTCAATTGCGATTGCACATCTAATAGTATTACTTCACGAGATCTCATCTGAAATTGCACGTTCAGCATGAGTTGTGAAGTTTAGAATTGCTTATAGTACTCCTTGCACGTGATAATGAATCCTAAAAGTAATGATATCACTTGTAAACATTCAACTTTTGTTTACTTTTCTTCAAAAATGCACCAGTTATTTATAATTTAAAATTACAACATTAATAATATAGAAAATAAGACGATTCTAATGTCGAACGAGACTGGTTCAATTACTTTTTTACTCGTTAATTCTGTCACGTGTTGCAATGTCACTGGTTTGTAGAAACTCTCGTTTAAGGAGTTGAAAAAATAGTCAACCTGTTATGATGCAAGTCAATACATGTAATAAATCTTCACGGAGTAGAATAATTTATAACAAAAAAAAGTAATCAAATATATGTAATTTGTATTAATTTATGATCAATATTGGATAATAAATAGTCAATTGGTCAATACTATAAAATTGATCATGGTATTTATGCAATCAATATTTCAGCACTGCAATATTTTTTGATAGGCGTACGAATCGATACTAAATGGTCTTTACTAGTGAATAAGATATTTAAAGAGGTCCAAAGATGTATTTGTGCTTTATGGATAAAACCAATGGTGGGGAACAGTTGACCAGGCCTTGACGAATAAAAGAGCTCACATAAGAGACACTGATGCTGAATGAGTCAAAGACTCTTCACATTACCCCTTTGACCAAGGAAGGAAAGTAAACACTTGTTAATTTCATAAGTAAATAAAAAATAAAGACATGATGCATTTATGATAATAATGAAAAGAATGGTTATACTGTGTCACAAAAATTCAACTGCAATTTTTCATTTCTAGATCCTGAACAATATTTTAATTGAGTAAATATTTTTGCATCACTCAGTCATTAATGATTGAATTTTTTCAATGAACAAAAACAATTTGAATAAATTAGCTTCTTTATCTTTTCAATAGTATTGAAAAAAAAAATTCTTACTTAACAGAATAAATTCAAAAAGTTTTAAATAAAAATTAGAATAAATATTCCATTCAATCTACTGTTTTGCATCTTTCAGAAGCCATACATAAATTATACTTTTTGAATGAATCTAGATACAAAAAAGAATCTTAATAAAAAAAAATTCATTGTATAATTGCAAAAAATTATTATTCTGTTTCACTTTTTAATACCTTTAATGAATTTTAAACTCATACAATGATATCACTCACATGGAATTGTAGTGGAGTTCTAACAAAAAAGATATTTTAATTAATTTCAATTTTTTAATATCATTGAAAAAAAAAATGTAAAAACAGTCTATGAAATTATCATTTTTTTCTAACATAGAATGGATTGAATCACAGATATACTGCGTGTCAATAATTAAATAATTTAATTAAAAAGACAAAAAAACTGATGAAGTTCAATTATCAACTGAATCAGTAATTAATTAAATTATTTTCTCTGTGATATAAATATCATCAAGTATAATATAATCATTATAATTATATTAGCTACCTAACATTCGAACTTTTATATTACCCATAATTTGGAATAAATGCAGCGTTGTTGTATGTAATTTTCGTGAAATATACTTTCAAAGATACTGATTAAATGTCAAAAGTACTGAGATACTGAGGTGTGAATTAGTTAAAGTGCTGAATTGCTTATGTCAAGTCTGTAACTCATTCAAATAATTATGAAACGTTTTCAAGTACAACAATAATGTTAGTAAATTCTCTTCAAAAGTAATAAATAGTTAGTATAATTTCCATTTAGTAATTAAATTGAATTGTTTCAAATTTTATTAATAAACCAACCATTTTTCAACTAGAAAGATATATTGGAATACTTCTAATGACCAACGGTCTCGAATAATATTCAAGGTGAAATTTTTTCAATGACGTTAAAATGCTAATAGAGCTGAATGTGTAATACCTGTATCTATATGATAGACCTATGCAGCGAATAAATGATATCGATAATGGACTCATTAAATGGAATGGTATATAACAAATATAAAACTGGTAGTGTAAAATGATTTGAAATATTTACAAAAAACATGAACGTTGGTTTTTGTTTAAACTTTAGTCGATTCAAAGTAAATATTTTTTATCACGGCAAGTGTCGCTAAAAACCTACAATGTCATCAAATTTACATGAGTAAAGACAGAATAATTGAAAACCAAGTAATGCAGCATGAAGAAAACAGAGAATATTAATAAAAGTGATTTTAGCTGTCAACTAATTCTCAGAAGAATTTATTCATTTACTTGGCTGTTTTATCAATATCCTTTTCGAACTTTGCTATCTATTATTATTAATATTATTTTAATGCTCCGTACTATAGAAACTATGGTTCTATATCATCCTTATCCATTTGACATTCATTTAAAAGAGTACGATTGACGTTTTTCTAGAATGCAAATCTCCACAAACATGATGTTTTATGATTCGCATTACACAAAGACAAATTTTCGTTCAAGGTTCAAAAGTTAATAATACCTCGAATATCATTCAATTTTTTTTTGCATGTAGAGAATAGCGAAAAATCATTGAGTATAATTTTTCATTATCAGTTATTTAACGAAACAGAACTTAATGTAAGAAGTTAAAATATAATTTTTTCCCAATTATTATAAACTATAATTTGTAACGTTTAACAGGAAAATAAGCTTTCCTTTAGAATAATGAGTTGAAGAACGAGAGAAAAATATGACTATTTAATAAAAATACTCGATAACTTAACTCATATGTTGTGTAAAAAATTTTATCAACAGGAAATAAAAATCAAAACAATAAATTATTAGATAAACTCACCATTTTTCTACTCATCCCATCTGTTGTAGGAAATAAATATGCATCTATATTATAAAAACTTTAGGAAAAACTGTAGAACAATCACGATCAATCTTCTTTTACTTTTTGTATTCCTTTTTCCTTGTTTTAATAATTTCTTAACGTCCACATGGTCTCCCAATTTATAGTTGGATTTTAAATCAGCTGAAAATTTGTCATTTTTATTATTTTCTATAGATGAATAGTTTGCCCACGTGAAAAAATGTTATTATCGATATAATTTTACAACATAAAAATATTTTGAAGTATGTTAGTGTTAAAAAAGATAGTTTTTATTGATAACAATAATAATGAGTACCACAATAAGCAACTGATTGATAAAAAATCCAAAAAATAAAGTTAAATAAAGTTGACTGAACCAAGTGAATGGTTCGCAACGACTGAATTCGTGGCTAAAGAAGAAGAAAAAGGTTTCCATCAAACATTGAGTGAGTGGGGCAGCATAATATTGGAAATAAAAGTTTTTCTAAGCTTCATTTTCATTTTCACATTTGAATTCATATCGTTAATAATCGATTTATTTTGTTTATCTATGTATATGTGTGAGTTAATATGAATATGATATAATTAAATTTTTTATCATGCAATAAGTACCTGTCAAAGACATTTTTTATAGTAACTGTCATGTGATACATGACAGTCTGAAAACTCTTCATTACAAGAATAATTTCATCAGAAGACAAGAATTTTCCCAGGGTTTTAGATTACTAAATTTTGTATGAAAATATATAATTTATAATTTATTCATGTGGCTGAAAAATAAAAAAAAATAGAAATTGTTAACCATACGCGATAAACTTCATGTAATTACTCCAAACATGGCATTGAATTATATAAATTACAAAGAAATGACGTTATGTAAAGTAAAATAATATAAATGGTAACACGAAAACAAATAATAGAACATAAATTTTACACAATTTGTCTGTCAATTAATATAAAAAATTACACCAAAAACGTATATTGATACTTGTCATCTTAAATCAATAATCAAAAGTATGAAGGAAAGAAGATAATTCAGTATCAACAATGACGGAAAAAATGATAATAGTTGCTAATTAATGTATCCAATTATAAAAAAAATGACAATATTAATTATAGTCATATTTATTGTGATGATTCGTTAATAATAATTATTATAGTAATCTAATTACTCCTGAGTGACTTAACATCATTATTTATCTAAAAGAAACAAGCAATTCAAATTACATCGAGCCATCATTTATTTGAGAAAAATACTATTTACATTGCACAGTTATTATCACTATAATCGTTAAAGCGACATAACGATTAGTTTTTACAGGAGATAAGCAACGTGGCGCAAAATTATTTGTGCCTCTACACTGGTCGTCCACATACCTATATAGATAAGACATGAGGAAAATAAGATCAACATTTTAGCAGTATTATCACACCACGCAACTCACACCCAAGAACTTTCTTATTTTGGTCTCTCATTTCGAATCTTATAGAAACTACTGTTTACTTTACTCATGTAATTACACATTTTGTTAGAATATGTAAAATATATGAGTTATTTGCACCAAAGTTTTGCAATTTATTTCATTATAACAGGAATCACTTTTTTATCTTCAAATAATTGAGATAATTTATTATAAACTATGGAGAATTAATTTCTTACAAATGCGCTTGTAAAAATTAGATAGTGTTAATCACTTAAACTTTTTGATTATTAATGAATACAATGATTGTTCGTTGTAACTAAAAATTAGTTCTCATCGAAGAAAAATGATCTTGAAATAAATTTTAACTGTTTTAGATACTTTTGATTATGTTAATAATTTAAAATATTTGATAATCTCATTATTTGATCAACAATCAAGTCAATTTCTTTAAAATATTTTTATAATTAAAAATGATTAATTACTATATTTTTTCATTAACAATCAAAACAACCATTGCTTCTAATTATTAAAAAATTGTCAATCTTATTTTTATTAACAATTTAAACAATCACTATTTAAAGATAATTTGAAGAACAAGCTATGTTTCTATTACTTTAACGAGTCAATCAATATGGATCTCGTCTATTGAACTTTGACCATATTATGCCATGTGAATTGGTAATTTGTATCATTAAAAGTTCGAAGAGAATGTGTTTAATCACATGCGAAAGCGCTGTGATGAGTTCTATATGAAAATTAAATTATTTACTGCCCTCTAAAGCTTATTTCTATGATAACTCTTTTGTTTAAGTACTGAATAATAATATATATGTATATAGCTATACACATATATTATGTTTATATATGAATCGAGATACATTGAGTTATAATTATTAAGAGATATATTTCCAGATGGGTAAAAGTACACTTTTTAGGCATGAAATTTTATACATATAAAAGATATTCATGTCTATATAATTTCGTACTCAAATTTGCATCGAAAAATTACTCATCTGCAAAAGCTTGTTATATAAAATATAATATTTTTTGCTTACTTGATCCAATGTATGTTAAAATACGACGTATAATGGAGAATCATTTTTTTTGGATTTTAAATACACTATATTACGTTATAAATTTCTCCACTTATTTTTTATCGACAGTTTTTATATTGTAATAAATATACTGTACTTTAATATCTATTAATATATTAAGTTATAAATTAAAAAAGATATTGTCGAACATAAATGCGCACCTGCTAATAAAAAAAAAATATCAAATAAATAAATGTCAATCCCAAGAATGGCTAGGAATAAAAATGCATCATAATAATAGAATGAAAATTTTTTACCATAATTATAAATTAATTGGTATCATTTACTAAGAGAGCAGAAAACAAATGTTTTGTTATTTGAATAGACGACAATGGTGCGCATTACTTGTGCTTGACGATAAACAATTGGTAGCATTTCTAGGTTTAAAAAAGAATAATTACGAAGAAACATAAATTTAAAGAACACTTCAAATTAAAAACAAAATTAATTATAAAGAAAAAGAATGAAAAGGTGTATTATTTTTTAAATATCCTTACAGGATAAACGTAATGCCGCAATCCTTCTAAATCTTCTAACATAAATAATCTAAAAAAAATATGTAATTGATTCTTTAGATAATGAAATGGACATGAATTAAATAAATAAAAAAAATTTTCAATATGAATGACAAATAATAATTATTAACTAATAATAATAGATAAGATAAATAATTGTAAAATATCCTAAAAAATACAACTATATTACAGGAACTAACGTTAACTTATTTTGCTAACGTTCAAATGTTTTTTTTTTCTGGATTACTTATTACACTCATTTATCATACTTTCGGAATAAAAGCTGAAAAAAATTCATCTGCATTGGTGGATCGATGCGCTTCTACAAGATGTGTACGGCGACGAATATATTGTAAATATTGTTAACCTACCGTTTGAGACGAAGCCAACTAGCTGTGTTTTAACTCAATTAAAGAAAGTCCAATAATTATGTAGAAGTCAGAAAAAAATAGCACAGATGGTTCTTTGGAGGTTTTATGTTGATATCTTTTTTGTAGTGAAATGAATCCATTCATCGAGCATCCTTCGCAGTTAATTTTTCAATTAACTCTTGAAGTGGTGCCAATTCTCGTCTCTCGATTAGATTGAATTCCTACAAAAAAATTATCGTATATATTTAACAATAAATAGCATGTTAAAAAATTTCTAATAGTGCACTCACTTGAACGAAGAATATAAAATGTTTAAATGATGTATTCAAGTGTGCTTCTTCTCCCAACTGAACAACTTCACTGAAATGTTGATGGTATATGTGAGCATATACTCGGAATAATCGTTTCAGGATTGTTTTCGCAATGGAAAGAAAATTTTTTGGGAAAGGAACACCTGTAATTAATAATTTGATGGAGAGATTAGGAAATTTATATATATAAATACAATAATTCATTTATTTCAACACAGCATATAAAAATATGAACATTACCTATTTTTGAAGGAAAAAGTGTTTCATCGTCCAATTGATCTTGGACCCAAGTCATTAAATAATCTATATACTTAGGAGCAGAGCATTTAATTGGTTTTTTGACGGTATGACCATCAGCCCAATGATACTCATATTTTGGTCCTGCTGACATTATTGGACAGCTTTCTTCAGTACAAAACTCTGTTATAGTTCCGTATAGCATATTAATTTGATTAAAAAAATCAACAGCTGGAAAATAAAGTGGCTATTTATAATGAATGCGCTATATGAAAATCATATATGTGCATGTGAAATTTAATGATTCCTTTTTATTCATTATTTCATTTTAATTACTTACTGTTCACTGCAACCCATTCATTAAGATCTTCTCCTTCAGGCAGCATAACAGCCAACCGTAAATTTCCGGAACCGAGTGTTGCTGCTGCATGTTTCATCAAGTCATACTGATGCGTTCCCTCAGGAATATTCTTTTTTGGTTTAAATGTCTTTGAAGACCTGCTTCCACTAGAAATAAAGAGAATAAAATCACTATTTTACATTATTTTTTGAATCATTCAAAACTTTTATTCATTTATTAATTATGCGCATAATTATTAATTTGAAGAGAACTTCAAAGTAAAACGAATTGATTATCATTTTATATATTATGCTTTTATCATATTTCTAAGTTAATAATTGTTTAGAAATTGAATAAACAGAAATATAATATATAAATGATTACTCATATACGACTTGTGATTTATACTTAAGAGTTTTATTATGTTTATAAACTTGAGAAATTATCTTCAATTTTTGTTTAATGACAGTAAAGTTTATTTTAAAGTATGAGATTTCAACATAACTCCAATTTTATCTTTATATAAAGTAAAAATAATTATGCTAAAAGCTATTTTTATTTCTTGCTTAAATGTCATATATTGTGATTTTAATTGAAATAATTAATGTTAACACAACTGGCCAACTTTTTTCTTGCTAATAAATGTCATTACAATGATTACGGTCCGTAAATAAAAACATGATCAAAAACTGATGCATTTGGTGTACTTTTGAAACATCAATTTAAATAATAAATTACTCTACATGCTATTCTAGTAATGATTAAAATACTACAAAAAGAAAAGATAATTTTGATTATTCATAAATATAATTAATTCTTGTCGTTAATCAAAAAAGAATAAACTTGAAATTAGAATCATGAAGCCTGGCGTTCTTTCTTATTTGTTAAAATGTAAAATAATATGCAAAAATTTGTAGAGGAATTTTTATTTCTGAATCAATAATGTGTAAATTTAAATCTGCATGTTCTGAGAGAGCATCCATTTACTGACAAATGAGTCATAACACAATACTATATTTATTAGAATGACGTGAGTTGTAGCAAAAAGAGGAAACTCATCTAAGAGAAAGCATAGAAAAACTCTAATGGTTGAATGCATCAATAAAATTAAAATTAATGAAGAAGTTCCTTTTTAGGAGGAAAGTGTTTTTTTTTAGAATAAATAATTTTATGTAGACAGGTCAAGAACCTAATTTAGGAGAAGGGATACATAACAGAGATAGAGGTGTATTCTGTCAATTGAATGATGAATCTAACAAAATCAATTTTATATTTCCATAAGTTTTGATTAAAAATAAATGACATGTAAGAAAAATGAAAAAAATTTCTAAAAAATTAATCAATACTCTTCGATTTTTATGAGATGAAAAAAAATAATCTCAAACATCTTTGAAAAGTCTACTTTTCATAAAAAGAATAAAACTTACAATAGGAAGCTCATTCTGGCTACTGATAATGTTGTGTCGCGTCAATGTGCGACTGTACTGCAACTATGGTGATTTAATTGTTGAATATCATATAAAATAAGCAGCACTGAGTTTCCAAGGATACGTAGAAACACTTAACACAACAGTTCAATGGAGAAAACTGCACGAAATTTTTTGTCAATGGCCTTAAAGATGACCCGTCGACTACATTCGTTCTCCTCTGTTTCCTTTATCGTCGGATTGGTGTTTTCCTAAACTTTTCTGACTACGTCACATCCGCCATTTGGATTCATCTTGGGCATCAAATTATTCAACGACTTATAATTGCACAAAAACAAATTTTACTGCAAAAATACTGAAGAATATTTATAAAATAATTTTTTTCAATTTATAATTTCATGAAATTTACTTAAAAATAACTTGAAAAATCTTATTATAAGGAATTTAACTAAATAATCAGTCAATACACCATCTAAAGTGGTGCGTAGTTCACTAAACTGAAGTAAGTTGCATAAAACTTACCTGTTCATTCTGATTGGCTGAAAATTCCTAGTGAATATATTCACTGTCTGTGAATACGTCATAAAACAAAGATTACAACAATCACGTGATTTTAGTACGCTTTGGAACGGATAAATAAATAAATAGGACCATTGCGCAGACATAACCTCATATAACCTTCAATCATGTGACTTTGTTTATTTACATAAATTACCCGGTTCAACCGTGATTTTATTGGCCAATTCGTTAATAAAAGTTCTTTAATAATATTTACGTGATTTTATTCAGCTATTAACTATTTACTATGGAAGAAATTACGACTCGACAAGCTTTTCTCAAAATTAAACCTTACTGTGATTCTTTAATGAAAACTCCAAAAGCTGATCATGCCAGTAAAGTTGAGATTCAAATAAAAAATTTGCCAAATTCTGTGGTGCAAGATCTAACAGAATACATTTTGTACCCAGTTATTGTTCACATTCAAAACGTTGGGTAATAAATAGCTGATTTTCTATCAACAATGCTTCAAACTTATTTATTAATGAATGAATACTTGCTTCTTTTAGATTAGATGCTAAAATTAATTTGGTGGATATAATAACAACAACTGTTTCTAAAATAACTCTTAGAAACATTGACTTTTTCAACAAGCTCTATTTTTGTGTGGTTTTGACTATTTATGATCCATCACAAAATACTTTGGGTAAATAGTGTTACATAAAAATCAATTGTTATTCATCATGATTATTTCAATTTAATATTATAATAAAATTTTATAGTTATTTCGGGACATGAAGAATTAAAATTAAGTGTGACAACATGTTTGAAAAGCTTAATGTTACATGCATCATCAGATGTTATCGAAAAATTTTATACTCGAGAAAATGCTTCAAAAATTAGTCAAAGCATTTATTTATGTCTTTCAATAGCTAAAACAGAAAAGTTATTCTCTTTAAAGTACGTCAAATTTTATTCTTTGCATTATATTATTACTTTTTTTAATATTAAAGGTAATTCATTATTTTTTTTTTAGAATATCAGCCATCGAAGCATTGATGACCTTATCATATATTCATGAAAACGCCGATCCTTCTGATATTGTCTTACAAAATCAAGTAGCCGATATAATAATGTTATTTCTCCCTGGAATTGTAAAAGGACTACAAGAAATTTATTTAGAGAATGATATAATTAATCATAAGGTCATTGTAGCAGCAGTAAAAGCTCTAGGACGTATTTTAGCTTTAGTAATGGAAGATTTACCTCAAGAAGAAAAACCTTTGGACTTTTTAAACTTAGTAAATTCAACAAAAGCTTCTATTTCTGATCCACTGGGTATTTATTTAAACCAAAAAGGTCATGAAGGTATGGAAAAATTGATACAAACAGTTACAAGAACCCAAGAATGGTTTGATGCGGCATCAGAAAAACTTCAACATCCGATACAAAATTTACTTAATTTAACAAAACATTCACACATCAACGTTAGAAGAGAATTAGTAGAAACAACAATATTACTTATTACAAAATGTCCAAGAAATTTGAATAACAATTTCATTGATCTTGTAGACATTCTTATTATTTTATCAGAAGATGATTCTTTAGACGTAAGCAATATCTCAAAAAATGCACTAGATAAAGTTAACTCAATAGTGATTGAATATAAAATGCGATCAGTTGTAGAAATGTTAGAGGAACGTTTTTATAAGTTGCTTATACAGCTACCAAGACTCATAAGAAGATCAGATGATGTTACGCAATTATCATATTTAAATCAATTAATAGGGTACATAAAAATCTTAGGCAAGGAAAGACTACCTTTGGTTATGGCTTCTGCTTCTCATTTACAAAAACTGATATTATCTCTTGTTTCTATTATAGAAATTGATTACAGTGGTGTATCAATTCTGGAAGATAATCAGTTGAGAACAATAGAGGATTGTGCAGATCCATCAAATATTTCTTGGAAGAAATTTAAGTTTATTCGAGACTTAGAGACAGAAAAAAAATTGATTCTTATATGTAAACTTCTTGGAACAACTGGTGATTTATATATTCTAGTTGACACAATTTTCGAAATGATGACGAACATGAAACATTATCGAAAAGAATTGATTTTACTACTAAATTGGACTTTGCAATGGACAAAAGAAGCACCAGCTTCTTTATATCAAGACGTAATCAATGACTATATAGACCATGAATTTTGGTATTTACCTTTAGAGTCTAGTGAGAATGAAGAAATTCCTTTGCGATTTTTGCAAAGTAACGTTGTTCAATCCTGTCTTTTAATAGAAGGATTAGGATTATTTGCATCTGTACTTCAAGAAGAGTATCAACATTTTTTACTGAAAACATTGTATTTAGTCATTGAAAAAGCGGGAAGCGGGAATGGATTGATTAGTTATGTAGGTCATCAAGCCTTAGAAGCGATAGCTAAATCTCAAGGATGTGAAAACATTACTACTCTAATTCGAAACAATGTTGATTATATTTCTTATCATGTCACAATGAAATTAAAGAGGATAGAGAGAAACCCTGGAGTCTTAAACGTCGTTGCTGTTGTCATAAAGTATAGTTCAATAGATATGCTCCCATGTTTGAAAGTAATTGTTGAGGATGCTCTAGAACAATTGAGTTCTCAATTTTCAAAAGGTAACGCCTATGCGATGTTAAAAGTTCTTTATACGTTTACAATATGTTTACGACAGTTATTAGGAATTAAAAGTATTGAAAAAGATAATACAATTGAACAAAATAAAGATAATATTGCTGAACAAATAATTCAAACTCTTTTAGAGTATCACAATGCGAAAAAAGTATCAGAAGATTTTGAAAATAATGAACTTGGTGGTAAACCTGAAGATATTTTAAAAGAATTGCAAGAAAAAAATGACCTACAATCAGATTATGATGTTGACGATAATGAAAATGAAAAAAAGGAACCTCCAGAGTACATTAAAATGACAGAAAACGTAATGAAAACATGTTTACATTTCTTACCTTCTCCAGATATTTCTAAATGTTTGTTAGTGATGCAAACACTCCAACATGGACTCTATATTCTCGCTGATTGGAGTGAACAACTGTTACCGATTGTTCATCTATTGTGGCATCCTTTAGTTGATCGTTTTCAAGCTTCCAATATTCTTATTATCAACCATGCTTGGCAACTACTTTATACATTGGCTCTTGTATCAGAAGATTTCATTAGATCGAGGACGCTTAAACAAGTATCGCCTGCTTTATTAAAATTTTTAGATAATTCTGCAAAAGAAAGTTACAAAAAGGATTCAAAAAGTACTTATAAATTTACGCAAATCTTTAAACTTCAAAAACTACTACTAACTCAAATGGGACAGGTTGCTAAATATATTAAGCTCCATGAACCCGATCTATGGAATTTACTCACGCTGGCTGAACCTTACTTAAACTGCAATCAGCATCCTGAATTACAAGAATGTTGTATAACTTTGTATAAAAAAATAGCAGAAATCAATGGAGACATCGTGTGGGTTAAATGTCTCAGTTTATGGCATTCCCATGTCATGCCTATTCGGCAAAACAAATCGTTCAGTATGAATGATTTAAAAATGAATGAACAAACAGATAATAATAGTGAATATTTGAAAAATATTCGTGAAATATTAATGTATATTGATAAAATTACCGATGCAATTATTAGATAAAATTTAATAACTGTAAAACAGTAGATGTAAATTTTGTACAGCAAATTTATAGATTTGATTTTCAATATCTATGTACAATTAATATTTTTATTAAAAAAAATATGAAAATAATTTATGTTAAATTTATTATTATTAGTTGATTTATTTATAAAGTTACCGAAGAAACCCAATAATTGGTCTTTGAGGTCCTAACGATTCTTCTTTCTTCAGAGCTTCCATTAATGTATAATTTAATTTTTGTCCCACATGTATTGCAATCTATAAATATAAATATATATATTTGTTTATTATTTATAAACAAGGGATACAATATTATTATTAATTCAAATTTCCAATGAATACCTCAAGACTTTTAAGTAAAGTAGATTGTTGAAGACTTCCATATCCTGTTTTGACAATTGCTGTAATTTTTCCATTGGGTACAACCGAAACAACTACACTTGCAGCTGCACATTCTTCTTCTTCAGCTGTAGGATCAACTATACAATTTTCACCAATCTAATTGTAAAAAAAAGTGATAATAATGTATTGAATACTACATGTGATTATAAAAATAAGATAAAAAATTACTTTGCACAGAGTTACTAAAACTGGAAAGTTTTCTGCATTCAATCTAATGCAATCAAATGGGTCATCAGATAATTGTATATCTGCTTCTCCACCATCTAATGTTGCTGCTGTTATCCTAGGTATTTCGACGCTAAATAAAGCAGCTTTTACACCTATTCCAATCGCATCCACTAAATTTCCACCACATTGAAGAATCTATCAAATATTTATAAACAATAAAACATAAAACTGATTTCTTGAAGTTTTTCGTAACTTTTGCAATTACTATAAAATTAAATACTTACTAGAATATCAACATACATCTTCCAGCATTTTTTGTATTTTAAAATACTCAAAAATTCAAGATTGAATGCACTTGATGATTTATAAGCATTTGTTAAAATACTAGTAATTTCTCCTGCTAAATCATCTCCTCCTTTGCCTTCGAATTCTGGGGTAGCATTAGCAGAACTAATAAATAATTGAAAAATGTTAGTAAAGTATTAATCAATATTAAATATGCATAATATTTTTTGAACTAAATAAAATGTACCAATCAACAAAAAATTCTAATTTGCCTTGATCAGGTCTATCAGGGAACGGTGTATCAATTTCAGCTTTTATTCCAACAAGTACATCAGTATTTCCAATTCTTACACGTGCTGATCCATTTGTTTGAGGCATCAATTTTGTTTCAATTTCTAAGTAACGATATTGCAATTGGCTACGACCATCAGTTCTTATATTTGCCTGATAATAATTTGATTAAAAAAATTTATTTAAAAATATTTTGATACGATTCTTCTACTAAAATAGCTTGATACAATTAACTTTAATTCAGAAAATAAATCTTACATTTACTCCATGGAGTATAAAAGTTTTTTCCGCTAAACTTAATGGATTTTCTGCCATTTTTTATAATTATAATTTCGGAATTTAATTAATTTTGAAAAAATACTGCACGCAACTGTGAAGCAAATATTGCGTACGACAAAGAGGTTATGATGACTACACGTGTGTAAATTTGGTTTGGATTTTTTAAAAAAATTTATGGGCATTAATGAAACTAACGATATTCTTGAAAATTTTATTAAGAAAATATGAATCATGAAATTAAGGAATTACGTATAAGTGAATAATACAAACAGTTTTTAATATTTATAAAAACAAATTCCATGTTACTCAAGCATCCAAGCACTGATGAATTTAATGAATATTCATGTGTCATGTGAACTTGTCTGTTGACATTTGTTAGCATTTTTTGTTTTATCAGTGTGTATATTCAATTCAATTAAAACTTTTTATAATAAAATAACAAAAAATATTTCAACGTCAACATATTTAAGCAAAACACGACACAGTTTGTTAATAATTTTATGCGTAGCAAGAAGGAAATATTATTTCATGAGAAAAACTGCTGATAAAATTGTTAAAAAAATATTTTTATTTCTTATAATAACTATCCATTATATTATTGTTGTTGAAGTCTGTTCTGATTTTCACAGCAATTATTATAAACGGCATCTAAAAATTTTAACTTTACAATTTCCATTTTTGTACATATGATTACAGTTCCTGAATACAATGAATATACTGCAAGATGAAGCAAGTATATTATCAAAGCGATTGAATCTTTTCTTATTTTCTTTGCATAATTAGAATATTTACATCAATTCCTTCAAATACTACATTTAATTCTAATACCATACAAAATCCGCTGTAACAGTGTATTTGTAACTATATTTTCATCATACTTATTTAGCTTCAAAAGATACATATCATAAGTATAAACTTGATAAATGAAATAAGGGCAGTATATTATACATAAGTCAAATTATTTACATAAGAATGAAAAATAACTTTATCAATCGATTGAGTGATGATTAATTTTTAGTTTAAATGATATCTTGAGAAATTAATACATAATCAATCGTGTAGATTTTGGTTCAGGAAGCATACAATCATTGCATTGGATGGATCAATTTATCAATTAGCGGATCAATGAACAAATAAGCCATTACAATTTTGACGTTCATAAGTCATGAATTCATTAATGATGATTCTAGGATTCAATTGTACTACATATGAAATATTTACAATGAAAGCTACTTTTGGCTTGCCTGCATCACTCAAAATTCCACACATTTAAGTTATTCATGATTCATTCTTCGTCTATGATATTCATTACGTTAACATTTAATTTATGTACATATTGCAGCAAGTGTAACGTAAGCTTTTACATGTCATCGTCCTTCGAACTTAATATAATGTTCATTCTTCTTAATTAAGTTCAGAAATATTATTCGCCAACTGTACTTGTCAATCACTATCACATTTCACCAAGTCGCAGTTAGTACTCCAAAATAAACAGTTTCCTAAACCACTATAGCAAATTAAGGAGACTGCAATAAAAAATACTAGACTGCAAATGATGCATGGTCGTCTTTCTAGAAAGAATCCGATGAGGTAAAGTATCATAAACATAACATGTGTTTGTAGTAATGCCGGGTTTACTGGTTTTGGTATCAGTAAAACTGGTAGCAACCACTGTAGACAATACATGCTGTTTTTTCTGACTGATAGCGACAGAATGTTTATATTACTCTTGAAATAAAAATTTTTTGCGAATTCTTTTTATTACTTCTGTCATTGATTAATTATTTTTAGCAATGTTATCTGAAATAAATAAGGTTATACATCATTAAAATAATTAATATCAAATTAATCATTTATGCTTGTTAATTAGTTGAACAAATTTATTTTGATTGCATCAAGAAATTACTTATCATGCCTAATTTTATCATTACCTAGAGGAGTCCACAATAACATTACACATATTGAATACTGTTTAATGAATAATAATATTTATTAATAAACACTGAATTTGATTCACTTCAAAATCTTATTCATTGCAACTGCTCTCTATAACTATTCACAATCTTTGGCATTGAAGACGAATAATTTAATTTCAACCATATCATGACGGAAGACTCTTATAATAACAATGAGAATGAATAACAATACAGATGGCTATTCTTTCATTGTGTACCTTTCCCGTCTTTAATTGCGATTGTCACCCGCTCTATACGAGATGATTAGATTTATCCAAGCTCTGTTGAAATGTAAGAAACCTGTTTTGCTTCTAAGAGGTTCTCATATATTGTTATTATGAAATAAATGTATAGTAACAATAATAAAAGTGCAAGCATTCATTCATGTGTAGAAATAAAATACATTTGTCAAATAAAATAGTTGTTATGGTAAAATTTGTAAAGGAATAGAAACAATTTTTTTTTAAGAAATTTAACTCTATATTTATTACTTTTATACTTAATTTATATTACATGTATAATTATTTACGTCAAATTGCCAAAAAATACAATGATAAATTTAATTTAACTTAATGAATAAAATCTGCAAACAAGTAAATGGTTCTGAATAATCACGTTACTTATTTATATCCATCATTAACATACTTATATTCAGGTTTTATCTAAAAGATATAAATTTACAAATTCATCATTTAAATAAATGATGCAGTAATGGTCAATTCGAAAATATTATAATTCGAAAGAATTTGTTATGTTACTTTTACTCTTCGGGCCATGGTTTGCCAATACCTTGACTTGCACCCATCCTTGATGGATCTTGACTAGGATAATGGATTGGAGCAGTTCCTGGAGGGAAAATAGGAGCAGCTGCAGTGGCAGTAGCAATTTGAGTAGGAAACATGAACTGTGGAGCAACTGGAGGTGGTGGAATCATCATAGGAGGCATGATGCCTGGTGTAGCTTGGAGATTGAAGAAATTGTTGCCTAAACTCTCGGGTGGCGGAAGTGGCTTTGGTAAACCTGGCACCGGTTCTAGCAACTCTCTCGTCGTTTCGGCTGCTGATACTGTTTGACGTCCTTGAGAACGACCCCATTTGATGGTTAATCTTCTGCCTCCAAGAATTAACTTATTGAATGTTCTTTCAGCAGCTAATTCTGCTGCACTTCTTTGCGTATATTGAATAAATGCACACTGCTGGCGTGGCACCATAGTTACGGATCTGATTTCACCGTATTGGTAGAAATGATCACGGAGTTGTTTTTCGGTTAACACATCACCCAATCCACCAATATATAAGGTTGTGATCGATTTATCTTCTGGCGGTTCTAATGTTGGCATTGCTGCCGCTCTTCGCATCAATTTATCTGCAACTGGATCATTAATTCCATAATAACGATCTTTTATATTTTGATCTGCAAGTGGATCATCAGGATCTGTAGGTTTTTCGTGTCTATAAGGACATTCTTCGCCTCTTTTACATTCTCCTTTAACCCAAAACGAGCAAATATGAGGTCTGTTCCTTTTATAATATGGACTAGTGCGTGCCAATTTCATTAATAGATCACTTGCTGCTGCTGATTTTCCAACAGCTCCAGCAGGAACTGTTGGATCCAAATTTCCTATTTCTTTATCGATATTTTGTACATAATATTCTTTATTCACTTCTGATCTTGGAATATCGTCTTTTACTTTCAATGCCATATCTCGTACTTGAATAGGTAATCCGTATTCTAGATCCAATAGACACGTTTGACATACGTTTTTGAGTCTGCTACATGTTTGACATACTTCGGTTTTCTTGAAGCGCATTCTTGCTCCTGGACACCATCGGAATACCGTGAAGGGACGTACACAAATTTTGCATTCTTTTCCGTACTTCTCTTTAGTCATTCGAATGTAAGGATTATCTCCAAGGCACGTTTGGCATAAAATTGGGAATTCCTATTAACAAAAAACAACTCAAATTAATATTCTAGTAACTGGACAAATAGTTATGAATGTATTTTGAATGTTACTTACAGCATCTTCCCAGTTTTGCCTATTGTAAGTATTTGTTGTTTTTGACGTAGCCATTACAATTAAAAATATGTTTATTCAGAACAATAATTAACACTTATTTTATGATTAAAATTAACAAATGTAAACGCGTTTAGTGCTCCACAATCTACTCGTGTAGACTTGGTATGCATCAAGATGGCGACTAGTGAACTCTGTTTGTGTTTCAGCAGAATAGCTTGCTGCCATCTGATATCGATAAACGTAAATAGTTTTATAGGTGGCGCTGGTGGCATATTCTACGAAAAGCACTAAATTCGAACCCAAGTTCACCCTTCTGATTGTTTTTATGATCGTTGACTAAGAGCATTTGCTCACGCATACTATCGTCCGTGCGGCTGGTGGCGGCCGCCGCGGCGGTCGGTTAGACCGAGTCGCGACGCAGAAGGCCACAGAAGCCTTCGTTGTTCATCAAAATGGCCACGTCCGACTCGAAGGCCCCTTTGAGGCTCGTTAAAAGGGTGCAATTCGGTATTCTTTCACCGGATGAAATAGTAAGTAATTATTCCCCGTCTCTGTTAAATAATTTGTGATATTTTTTATTGAATAATTCTGTAAATATTACCCGAAAATCAATGTATCGTTTTGTGAACGTTCCCGCTTTCTCGCCATCGTTGTGATTATGTAGTGACTAAGTGTGTGTTTCTAACGAAAATAATATGAAAAATTTTAATTGAATATATTTGATAATTCAATAATTCTTTAATATGTTATCAATAATTTTATGATATTTTTTAATTAATTTTATTTTTAATTATTGAATAATATGACGCAACGAGTGTTTTTGGACTGTGAAATTTGTCAGTTAGGGTTTTAAATGAAATGTTAATTGTTATATCTCTCTTTAATAAAATTACGAGCTTTATCATAAGGAAAATTTTTTTTTCAGCGTCGTATGTCACTTACTGATGGAGGGATACGATTTCCAGAAACAATGGAAGGAGGCCGACCAAAGGTGGGAGGTCTCATGGATCCCAGACAAGGAGTCGGTGATAGGAATTCACGTTGTCAAACATGTGCAGGCAACATGGTAGAGTGTGCTGGACATTTTGGACACATTGATTTAGCAAAGCCAGTATATCACGTGGGATTCTTCACTAAAACGATTAAAATTTTGCGATGTGTTTGCTTTTACTGTTCCAAATTACTTGTCAGTCCACATAATCCAAAATTAAAAGAAATCGTTATAAAAACAAAAGGTCAACCTCGTAAAAGATTGACATTTGTTTATGATTTATGTAAAAGTAAAAAAATATGTGAAGGTGGAGATGAAATGGATATCAATAAAGATGGAACAGAAATACCTGCTGCAGATCGAAAACCAGGACATGGAGGATGTGGAAGGTATCAACCAAGTCTTCGAAAATCTGGTTTAGAAATCAGGGCAGAATGGAAGCATATTAATGAAGATTCTCAAGATAAGAAAATGGTTTTGACAGCAGAACGTGCCTGGGAAATTCTCAAACATATTACAGATGAGGAATCATTCATCTTAGGAATGGATCCAAAATTTGCTAGACCTGATTGGATGATTATTACTGTTTTACCAGTACCGCCATTATCAGTAAGACCAGCAGTTATAATGTATGGGTCTGCAAAAAATCAAGATGATTTAACTCATAAATTATCAGACATCATTAAAGTAAATAATGAACTACTCAGGAACGAGCAAAACGGTGCTGCTACACATGTGATATCTGAAAATATCAAGATATTACAGTATCATGTAGCTACTCTAGTCGACAATGATATCCCTGGAGTTCCTAAAGCAATGCAGAAATCTGGAAAACCATTAAAAGCAATCAAAGCCAGATTGAAAGGAAAAGAAGGAAGAATTCGAGGTAATCTCATGGGTAAACGTGTTGACTTTTCAGCTCGAACTGTTATTACTCCAGATCCAAATCTTCGAATAGACCAAGTTGGAGTGCCTAGAAGTATTGCTCAAAACTTAACATTCCCAGAAATTGTTACTCCTTTCAATATTGATAAAATGCAGGAGCTTGTAAGAAGAGGAAATTCACAGTATCCTGGTGCAAAATATATTGTAAGAGACAATGGAGAACGTATTGATTTAAGATTTCATCCTAAACCATCAGATTTACATTTGCAATGTGGATACAGGGTAGAAAGACATATTAGGGATGGAGATCTTGTTATTTTCAATCGACAACCTACATTACACAAAATGAGTATGATGGGCCACAGAGTAAAAGTTTTACCTTGGAGTACGTTTCGTATGAATTTAAGTTGTACGTCACCATACAATGCTGATTTTGATGGAGATGAAATGAATCTTCATGTTCCTCAATCGATGGAAACTCGAGCTGAAGTTGAAAATATTCATGTAACTCCTCGACAAATTATTACTCCTCAGGCGAACAAACCTGTTATGGGTATTGTACAGGATACTCTAACAGCAGTAAGGAAGATGACGAAACGAGATGTTTTTATAGAAAAAGAACAAATGATGAATATTCTTATGTTCTTACCAAGTTGGGATGGAAAAATGCCTCAACCGTGTATTTTAAAACCAAAACCTCTTTGGACTGGTAAACAAATCTTTTCTCTAATCATTCCAGGCAATGTAAATATGATTAGAACTCATTCTACTCATCCTGACGATGAAGATGATGGGCCTTATAAATGGATTTCACCAGGAGATACAAAAGTAATGGTCGAACATGGAGAGTTAGTAATGGGAATCTTATGTAAAAAGACTTTAGGAACTTCAGCTGGATCATTGTTACATATCTGTATGTTAGAATTAGGCCATGAAGTGTGTGGAAAATTCTATGGAAATATTCAGACTGTGATTAATAATTGGTTGTTATTAGAAGGTCACTCCATTGGTATTGGAGATACTATTGCTGATCCTGCAACTTATCTAGAAATCCAAAAAGCGATCAAAAAAGCCAAAGAAGATGTCATAGAAGTAATTCAGAAAGCACACAACATGGAGTTGGAACCAACTCCTGGTAATACATTGAGGCAAACTTTTGAAAATCAAGTCAACAGAATTCTCAATGATGCTCGTGACAAAACTGGAGGATCTGCTAAGAAATCTTTGACTGAATACAATAATCTCAAAGCTATGGTGGTTTCTGGATCTAAAGGATCAAATATTAACATATCTCAAGTTATTGCTTGTGTAGGACAGCAAAACGTTGAAGGTAAACGTATTCCTTTCGGCTTCCGAAAACGAACATTACCACATTTCATCAAAGACGATTATGGTCCGGAGTCTAGAGGATTTGTAGAAAATTCATATCTTGCTGGTCTGACTCCCTCTGAATTTTATTTTCACGCTATGGGAGGTCGTGAAGGTCTTATTGATACTGCTGTAAAGACAGCTGAAACTGGATATATCCAACGTCGGTTAATAAAGGCTATGGAGTCTGTAATGGTTCACTATGATGGAACTGTCAGAAATTCAGTTGGTCAATTGATTCAGTTACGTTATGGAGAAGATGGTTTATGTGGAGAAACAGTAGAATTCCAGAATCTTCCAACAATTAAATTAAGTCATAAAGCATTCGAAAAGAAATTTAAATTCGATCCAACTAATGAAAGATACCTACGACGTATTTTCACGGAAGAAATTGTTAGAGAAATGATGGGCTCTGGTGAAGTTATTTCAGAGCTTGAGCGAGAATGGGAACAATTAAATAGAGATCGTCATGTTCTCAGAGAAATTTTCCCCAGCGGAGAATCTAAAGTAGTACTTCCTTGCAATTTACAAAGAATGATCTGGAATGTCCAAAAGATTTTCCACATCAACAAGAGAGCTCCAACAGATTTAAGTCCGATGAGAGTAATTCAAGGAGTAAAAGATTTGTTAGATAAATGTATAATTGTAGCTGGAGAAGATAGATTGAGTAAACAAGCTAATGAAAATGCTACTTTATTATTCCGTTGTCTGGTTCGATCAACTTTATGTACAAAGTGTGTATCAGAAGAATTCAGATTATCTACCGAGGCTTTTGAATGGTTAATTGGAGAAATTGAAACAAGATTCCAACAAGCACAAGTATCTCCAGGTGAAATGGTAGGAGCATTGGCTGCTCAGTCTCTTGGAGAACCCGCTACTCAGATGACATTGAATACTTTCCATTTTGCTGGAGTATCATCAAAGAACGTAACTCTTGGTGTACCAAGATTGAAAGAAATTATTAACATCAGTAAAAAACCAAAAGCTCCTTCACTAACTGTCTTCTTAACAGGAGCAGCTGCTAGAGATGCTGAAAAAGCTAAAAATGTTCTCTGTCGATTAGAACATACTACTTTGAGGAAAGTTACTGCTAATACTGCTATTTATTATGATCCAGATCCTCAGAATACTGTGATTGCTGAAGATCAAGAATTCGTTAATGTTTACTACGAAATGCCGGACTTTGATCCAACTAAAATATCTCCTTGGTTACTCCGTATTGAATTAGATCGTAAAAGGATGACTGATAAAAAGTTGACTATGGAACAAATTGCAGAGAAGATCAATGCTGGCTTTGGTGATGATTTGAACTGTATTTTCAATGATGATAACGCAGAAAAACTGGTTTTACGTATCAGAATTATGAATAGTGATGACAACAAATACACAGATGTCGAGCAGGATTCTGTTGATAAAATGGAAGACGATATGTTCCTTCGTTGTATTGAAGCAAATATGCTTAGTGACATGACTTTGCAAGGTATTGAAGCGATAGGAAAAGTTTACATGCATTTACCACAAACTGACGCGAAGAAGCGAATCATTGTCACGGAGACTGGCGAATTTAAGGCCATTGCCGAATGGTTGCTTGAAACTGATGGTACAAGTTTAATGAAGGTTTTGAGTGAACGAGACGTTGATCCTATAAGAACATTCAGTAACGATATTTGTGAAATTTTCCAAGTACTTGGAATAGAAGCTGTACGTAAATCAGTAGAAAAAGAAATGAATGCTGTGTTACAATTCTACGGTCTTTATGTAAATTATCGTCACTTAGCTTTACTTTGTGATGTGATGACAGCTAAAGGTCATTTAATGGCTATCACGCGTCATGGTATCAATAGACAAGACACTGGAGCACTTATGAGGTGTTCATTCGAAGAAACTGTTGACGTGTTACTTGATGCTGCTTCACATGCTGAAGTAGATCCAATGAGAGGAGTATCTGAGAATATTATCATGGGTCAATTACCAAGAATTGGAACAGGATGTTTCGATTTGCTGCTCGACGCAGAAAAGTGTAAAGCAGGAATTGAAATACCGATGGCTGTTGGTGTAGGAGTTATGGCAGGAGCTGGAATGTTCTTTGGAAGTGCTGGATCACCCAGTATGAGTCCTCAGATGACTCCTTGGATGGGGTCAACACCAGGTTATGGAGTTTCTAGCATGTCTCCAAGTAAGTATTATAAATTTAATAACTCAAAAAACCATTATCTTTTGTTTTAAATATCATTTAAAATTAATATAATTTATTTTTGTAGCTATGGGAAGTGGTATGACTCCTGGAGGTGCCTGTTTCTCACCATCAGGAGCTTCAGATGCTTCAGGACTATCTCCTGCATACTCAGCTTACTCTCCACAACCAGGAAGCCCAGGAAGTCCGGGACCAAGTATGAGCCCTTATCCAATGTCTCCAGTTGGTGGAGCTTCACCAAGTTATTCGCCTACATCACCTGCATATTTACCAACATCGCCGAGTATGACGCCATCGAGTCCCAATTATTCTCCGACAAGTCCCACTTATTCTCCTACTAGTCCTAATTACTCCCCTACAAGCCCAAGCTATTCTCCAACCAGTCCTGGATATTCTCCAGCCAGTCCGAGTTATTCACCAACGAGTCCGAGTTATTCTCCTACTAGCCCGAACTACTCCCCTACGAGTCCTAGCTATTCTCCAACAAGTCCAAGTTATTCACCAACAAGTCCGAGCTATTCACCAACGAGTCCTAGTTACTCTCCTACAAGTCACAGTTATTCACCTACGAGTCCTAGCTACTCTCCAACGAGCCCTGGATATTCTCCAACCAGTCCAAGTTATTCTCCAACCAGTCCAGGGTATTCTCCAGCTGGTCCCAGTTACTCTCCAACGAGTCCAAGTTATTCACCAAGCTCTCCTAATTACACACCTCAGTCTCGATCTTATTCACCAACAAGTCCTAGCTATTCACCAAGTTCACCACAATATTCTCCAGCAAGTCCGAGTTATTCTCCAAGCAGTCCCAAATATTCACCCACAAGCCCAAGTTACTCTCCTACATCACCATCATTTGCTGGAACTTCTCCTCAATATACTCCTACGAGTCCTACATACTCACCTACAAGCCCTACTTACTCTCCAACAAGTCCAAGTTATTCTCCAAGTTCTCCTCAGCATACAGCTGGTGGAAGTACCAGATATTCACCTAGTAGTCCTAATTATTCACCTACCAGTCCTACTTATTCACCATCAAGTCCACAATACTCGCCTTCAAGCACAAAGTATTCACCAACAAGTCCAACTTATACACCAACAAGCCCAAGCTACTCTCCAACAAGCCCAACATATTCACCGCCTGTGCCCGGTTATTCACCAACAAGTCCGACATATTCTCCAGCATCACCTGCATATGAAACAGATGATTAAAAAGAAAACCATCGATTCTATTACAAAAAAAACATATTTCGTGATTATTTTACACTTATAATTCTTCTTATTCAATTTAATTATTATTTCTCGTCAGATACCTGTTTGTTTTATTTTTGTTTAATATTCTACATCTACAACTCGATTGTTGAAAAATCGAGTTTCAAAATAGCATTATTGTCGTATATCGACTACATAAATTACGATATAATGAATGAACTATATTTGTGATTAATCTTGTGACATCAGTAAAGTTTAATAATTATCTTTACAAGTTTGGAATAATGGCTTAGATGTAATATTCTATTGGCATATATTTTTTGTAAATAAAGATCAATGATTATAAGACTTAAATATGTTAACGAATAATTATTTCATCAATTATCTTATCTAGTGTCATTGATTCTTATTTTGACTACTAGAAAATATGTTTACCATTAATTTTTAAATTAGAAAATGAAGTGTGTCTGTCTTGTAGGTCTTCTCATACTCTCCCGCCATGAGGAATCATTCACTTGTACTTAATCATATCATGTTTCATGCCGCAAGAAGAACCGGTTCGTCGCAGTTAGATATTTAACAGGAACAAAGTTTCACATATTGGCAACTCTAAACATGATTACTGAAAGGACTTTTTTGCTAAAAAATCAAGTGAATTCGGGACTTACTGTATTGTTTGCGACTTTGTGCATCATAGATATTTTTGGAGTGTTTCCTATCATTGCACTACCTCATGCAATTATTCAGTGTGGTAAACATTTCAAATTGATACAACTTTTATAATCCAGAAATTTCTAATGAAATATTTTTAGGACTCTTGGGTATTCCTCTAGTGATGGTTGTCATTTTTCTTCAAATTTATACAGCATCATTATTAGGAAAATCATGGATTATCGCCACTTATTTAGATCCTCAAATAGCAAGAAAAAATCGGTAAATTTGTTTATATTAGAAAAGAATAAAAATTTTAATTATTTAATAAATTAGTGAATCACTATATATTGAAATTAATTATTGCACTAGATATCCTTTAGCAGCCGTTACAGAATTAACTTTAGGAAGAAAAATGCGAACATTAGTGACATTTCTTTTAGATTTAACTGTTTTTGGTTGTGGAATTCCAAATCTTTTAGTTGGTAAGTTCTTAAGAACTTGAAAAAACTTTTATATTCTGCATTTACTTTATTTCAAGTAAATAAAACATAAAATAAAATTATATTTATAGCATCTCAAAATCTCCAACTGTTCGGATTGAAAGTTTCCAATAATCAATTTGATTTGTCTTTTTGCTATTGGTTGCTTGTTGTTGGAGTGCTATTGTGTCCGTTAATGTGGCTAGGAAGCCCTCGAGATATGAAGTTTGTTAAATTAGTTATTAAATGGATGAATAATGCTAACTAGAGTAAATTAAGTGAAAATATTTATTATAGATCTTTAGCAACATGCTCTACATTAGCAGTTATAACTACATCAATATTAATATGGTGGGGAATAATTACGGATGATAGAACTCTTGAAACTATTCCTGTACCCACAGCACCAACGTGGGACAAATTTATATCAGGATATGGCATGTTAGCATTTCAATTTGATGTCCATCCAACTTTAATGACTATTCAAGTAGACATGAAACGACCCAACGACATAAATAAAGCTGTTGTTTTATCGTTTTTATGTAAGTTAAATTTTAACAAAGTTAATTTATAAGATTTTTTAATAACTTTATTTATTTTCACAGTTAGTGGTTTATTATTCGGAGTAACAGCAGGATTATCAGCGTGGAAATATCAAGGAAGTGTAACTGCTAATATCCTTCAAATATCACCTCCTGGACTTCCAAGTCGAGCTGCAATACTTTTTTCTGCTTTGCAGCTCATTTTTTCGAGCGTAATAGGACATGCTGCTCTTTTTTTACATCTTGAAGATCAACTCCACGTTCGAAGAAGTTTGTAGTATTTTAATTTTGCGTTAAAAGTTATTATTTTATATTTTAAGTATTATATGTTATTTTAGCATTTGGGTGGAAACGTTGTGCAATGAGATCAGCAGTAGTATTTTTAGGAGTAGCAATAGGTGAATCTGTACCACGTTTTGATATTGTAATGGCTTTGATTGGTGGAACTCTCACTGGACCACTTGTTTTTATTCTACCTCCAATTATGTATGCTCGAGCTAAACGTCTGAAAGAAACAATAAGCAATCGAATAGCAACACCTGAAATATTTTCTGCTACTGAACGACGTTATGGTGAAGATTTGGTTTCTGACCCTAGAGCACATTCACAGTCTATTTACTACGGTATTCCAGAGTACAACAAAGATCGACAACGTTTTTGTTATGTTTATTATAATAATAATGATAATGATGATAACGAATCTTCAGACCTCCTTTCTGAAAATGAAGACAACGAAGAAAAGAGTGACGACAATAATTATAATGATAATAAGCTTATAATTGAACAAAATGCAGAAGCAACGACTTCATTCATAGATGCTACACAACCAGAGAAATTATATAAGACAAAAACTACACAATCATTGATTAAAGTGGAAGTAAACAGATTTAATTTATTTTTTGAACAATTGATGAACTGGTTCGGTTATTTTGTTGTTATAATAGGAATTCTTATCACAATTTCTTCCACATATATCAATATAAAAAATACTATCAAGTTTGTGAAATTTACACCACCATGTATTATCAATGCTTCCGCTCAAATGTTTTAAATAATAAGAATTCTTAAACTTCTTTATTTAAAAAAATATTTTAAAATCATGTTAAAAATTAATTTTTCTCTTTTATATCTCCTAGATTACCATTCATTATGTTGAACGAAGAAAAATACTATCATTTCCACGATATGAAACAGTATTTTTATCAGTTTCAAAAACTTTGACCTCATAAAGTAAACTAGGATCAGGCATTAGTGTTTTTAACTCATCGAAAATGTAAATAGCTAAATTTTCAGTTGTACTAACAGTTGTTTTAAAGTATGGAACATCTTGGTCAAGATTTTTATGGTCTAATTGTTCCATCAATACCTTTTTCATGTAACATTTGAGGTCAGTAATATTCATAACCATTCCTGTAGTTGGATTAACTGGTCCTCGTACTGTTACTTCAACTGTAAAAATAACATTTATAATGTTTATAAAAAAAATTTCTAAAATATATCAAGATATTACCAGTGTAATTGTGGCCATGTCCCCATAAGTTATTGCATTTTCCATAAATAGATTGATTTTCTTCATCAGTCAAATGTGGACTAAAAATATTTTTATTAAATTATGGAATTATTCAGAACAAGTATTGAATAAAATCTTTATTTTTCTTTGCAACTACCTGTGGAGGCGATGAGCACAAGAAATGGACTCTTTTCTTGTTAGATATGCAATTGGACTCATTTTTTATATTTTAACAATATTTTTTTGATCTGTTGATTAATTTGAAAATTTTAATTAATATTATTTAACAAAAATATTATTATTTCACTTATTGATTGAAAATGAGAAAAATGAATACTTTCAATGCCATTTAAAAAACCATTCTCACGGAAATGGCGCTGTTGCGTATGTTTCCTTTCTGAACTATTAATCAATAATGCAGCAGATATTACAGAATTCTATTCTACTAACTCTGGATTGATAAAATAGATTTATGAATATTCACTGATTGAGTCAAAAATTTTTATTGCATTTGCTATCTTTATGTTTACATATTTAGTGATTTGATGGTTTCTGATGGCGTGGACGGTGGTAATTTAAAGATTAGATAGTTAATATTAAATTAGTATTTTTGTGTGTCAAATACAATCCTCCAAAGATGGTAACTACTACAAAATATATTTGCTCATTTATTAAATAATACAGAAAAATGATTGCATGTATATTATTACTTCCAGATGCAATTCATGTTATTGTTCAGCCGTCAAGGAAAATTACGGCTACAAAAATGGTATGTAGCACACCCAGATAAATTGAAGAAAAAAATCACGAGGGAATTGATCACAACTATCCTTGCTAGAAAGCCTAAAATGTCGAGTTTTCTTGAGTGGAAAGATGTGAAAGTTGTCTACAAAAGGTATTGTTATGACTATTTTCAACAATATTTCTTAGTTATGTTGAAGGATTAGTGTTTTTTATGTAATGTTTTTTTCAGATATGCTAGTTTATATTTCTGTTGTGCCATAGAACAAAATGATAATGAGCTACTAACGTTGGAAATTATTCATAGATATGTAGAATTATTAGACAAATACTTTGGAAGTGTGAGTAGAATTATATTTTCAATTATTATATTAGTATAAAATAAATTCTCTAGCTAAATCAAATAATGATACTATTTTCATAAACAGGTTTGCGAGCTGGATATTATATTTAACTTTGAAAAGGCGTACTTTATACTGGATGAGCTTCTAGTTGGTGGAGAAATACAAGAAACAAGTAAGAAAAATGTTTTAAAGGCCATCGCAGCACAGGATTTACTGCAGGAGGTTAGTTATGGCAATGTACCTTTAGAACTATAATTTCTTTAACATGAAGTTTGTCTTGCAACACAAAATAATATGCATAATGGATTTCTGAACCAAAAATCAAATGGGTTGATAACTGCTATAATAATGATAATAATTAATAGCATAATGATTAATATCAAAATAATCAGAAAAAAATCATAGAAGGAATAGAAATGCAATAATAATTATTTATACAATTTATTAATTATTACTTTATAGTTGCAATTTAATTTTCAATTGAAATGGAGTACAATTAATTAATTTATTTAAGAAAAACTTTTTTTAACTATTTTAACAAAGAGATATTTTATTATGCCGTAGAGATCTCTTAATTTATTATTAAAGAGAATAATTTATACATTGGATTAATTCAAAATATTTTATTTTTAATTTTGTGTCATAAAATTTTTCAAACTACTCAGCTTTTAAATTGGAGTATATTTTTTGAAACATTTACGATTAAATATTTGAATTAATCCTATATTATGAATAATAACAGATTTGCAATATTAAGAGAATAGATATTAGTAAATTGAATAATTATCATTTATCATATTTATATACATATATTAACTTTAAATGAACCTTGATGTATTGCTATTGTGTGGTTACAGTCACTTTTTATATGTGTTGTTACGTTGTATGCATGAAGTATATGTATGCATGAATTATGTATCACTGTGATCATTGCAGTAAGTAGTATAACTCAAGTAGAAGCTTGCCAAACTATATTATTCATGTTTTTAACAATCTTTCAATAGTGAGAAATTAATAAGTAAATATTTAAACTTTTACTCCTCTACACAACCATTATACCGAAAAAGTTTGAAAGAAATTGTGTTGTCAATTTTGATTGGTTTTTATATTATTTATATATTGATCATAAAAACTATTATTTCTTATAATTAGTTATTATTTAATCAGTATAAGTTCAATTATACTCTATAGAGCAGCATGCAAACAAATAATATCAAGTATCTATTAAGAATCAGTTTTTACAAGATTTAATATATTGAAGAAAAAAAAACGATTTTAGACACTTAGTATTACCGATGATAACAAAAATATCTCACAATAATGAGCTTTTACTTTTACCGTTAGTACAATGGTTTTTGCCTTCATCGCCATAGATTTATTTTAGTCCTTATTTATTTATAATTATAATAGTTCTAATTGCAATGTTTATAAAATTTCTATCCAATGATTATCATCAGTTAGAATGTAGTCATCTAGTCGGAGTATTATGAACAAAAATATAAATCTTAGTTGTAGTAACCGGTTGATACAAGAAAATCAAATCCAAATCGATTATCAAATAATACTATTCAATACATAATGTACAAATGAAAAAAAAAAAAGCTTAGAATTATTTATTTAAATGAAAAAAAATGCTGCTCTATTTATTTAGTATTAAAATAAAATCATTTTTATGTACATGTACGTTTTTTTTTCAGTCTTAAATAAATTTTTGTTTGTTATTTTCAAGCTTGAAAATTGATGTAAAATGTCTTTAGTTGTATAATAATTATTTTCATTTTTATGTTCTATAAATGATGTATATATGAGAATGGAATTTTCTTTGATTAGATAGCAATTACGAATCGTTAATTATAGTTGATAAGCTTCCTGGAATTTAGATGCGTCATTTGCCACAGTATGGCAAGGCTTTAAATTATGTCGCGTTTGATCTGCAATAATAATTATGACTGTGAGTTAAATGTAGCGAGAAAGAATTGTTTTTGTTTTAAATGGAACGAGCACGTAGAGAAAACTAGTTAGTGTTTATTTTGTTTGTGGAAGGATGAAGCTGTTGAAGGTGCTCTACGGGAAATAGGGCTTTTGTAAGCGCATCTACTGTTGTGTGTCCCTCCTACATCACCAAACTGAACATCGAGATCACCAACTTGCCAACCAAATCATCTGCCTGACGATGCCATCGCCCATCTCAACTTATTTCGTATTAAAATTTGAAAAAAAAAAAACAAAAACTGAAATTCCATTAGAATACAAACTACCTGCCAAAATATGTGCATTTTTTGCATTTTAATTGCATTGTCTGCGTATAAAAATCGTCATATTTTTGTATAAACTTTATGTTTAAGAAATGATAGAAATATATAAGTATATTTTGCCACTAAAACTAGTTAATTAAGATTGAACGATAGACTAATATGTATATTGTGATAAAAGCGATCAATTACCAACCATGTGGCTATAGTTATAGGATTTAATATATTGATGGCAATAAAAATCATATAACTTTAATAAATAAAACATATAGGAAAATATTCTAGTTATTCTTTTAATACTAACTATTTTTTAAGCTTGTATCCAAACACTTTTTTGCACTTTTTTGTATTTATTAAGTGTTGTAATTATTTCAATTAATATAACTGATTAATGAGTCATATGAAAGGGATTTTGATCATCATTTGAAGCTGCCAGAAGATTTTATTTACGAATTAGGTACGTGTTTTTTTAGTTTATACATATATTTTTGTTAACGCTATTAACAAAATTAAAATGCAGCATCAAATTTATTGAATCCCTTTTCATATCGACGTAACAAGAATTTAATTATATTCTTTTATATCATTCATTATTAGCTTCTAATTTTTCTTCATTGTTTTTTATGTTTTAGGAAGAAACTCCTCAGGGATTTTTTGAAGATCATGGGCTTGGATAATCAATACTTTAAAAATATTCTACATCCCACGACCAATTACCTGTTGGAGAGGTTGTTCCATCACACTCATCTCTTATTACTTTTTATTTAATAAAATACCTAGGTACTTAATAAATTCTTCATTTTTTAAAGCATATGAATTTTATAAAAGTAAGCTTTTTGAAATTCAAATTAGTTCCCAGTTATAAAGATACTATGTTCATTATAATTAAGTAAATAATGTAGGAAATATTTTTACGTATTGATGATATTAATTAGATTAAAACCCGTGAGTAAGCTGTGTGGTACTTAATAGACTCTTTATGAATTATTAATACTTTAAAGTTGATCTTTTTTTTTGTTAATGTTCTTATGATAATAAAATTATATAATCTGTACTTAATTAATGATAAAAAAATATGCGAAAACAATAATTAATTAAATATTAAGTAACTTATTAAAGAATGGATATAATCTATTTATTGTGAAATTTGTGAATTCTGGTAAGATCAAAATGTATTAAAATATAAAAAAAAAACATGGTTTATGCTCCGTCCACAACGTAATGTATGATAATACATAATAATATGAATAAAATTCTCTGTAGAAGTAGAAGTTAATTTGTTTAATAATATGAGGAATTATTGTTATGTTAGTTTAACTCATAACTTGATTTTATGTTTTCATGATAGAATATTATAACGTTTACTTTTCTGTTAATATAAAAATCAATTATTACAATAAACTCATTTTAATACATCAAGGCGGTAGTGATTGTAGAGATTACAGAAATGATTTAATATATAATGCCATTGAAGGACATTCAGCTGGAAAATATAGAATTATTGAAGGCTTAAGATCTTTTATCTATAGAATAATTCTTATAAGCGCGCGCAAGAATTGCGCCAAGTCTGCGCGTAAGTTCTTTAGGGAAAAACTCATGCACACGCGCACGAGAAAAGTTCGCATTAACGCCATGTCTTCATCACTACAGGACTTTTATTACTTCTGATAAATTTAACGATCATTGTTAATAATTGTGTAGTGGATTATGATTAACTATTGATTATTAACCACAAAGCAAATGAAACTAGAACATCTGAGTCTTGAGTGAGAATAGACGAATTTTAATTGAAAAATATACAAATAATAAAGACATTTTATAAAATATATTAAATATCATGACGCTCCCTTAAAAAAAACAACAATAAAAAAGCTCATTGTGAGGAGGAAAAGAACAGGGATTTTGAAAACGTTATAATGTTGGAGGGATGATAAATGATTTGAATGTGATGGGGATTTGAAGGGAACCTAAAAAGAGAATTGGGGAAGAAATTGACTTTGAGCAAGGTCATTTCGAAGGGAAACCATGAGTATTACTCTTGTCACGTAGAGTGACACGTGGTGGACAAAGCGCTGATACATAGTGACAAGTGTAAATCTTCCTGCAAGCTCAATCCAGGTATCTAGAACACGCGGGGAACTAAATGGACAAGCGCAAAGTGATATGCGCTCTGAGAAACGAATGATGCGTCGGCGCGAAATAGTGTGACGTCTTCCTGATGGCGTAAAGTGTAGAGGAGGGACTCCGTGCTCGTGGCGTGTCGATAGACTCAGAGAGTCGTTGGGTTGACGATAGTGTAGTCGTGGTGTGGTGATAGCAACGCATGGTGAAAGCTAGTGGCATTTAGAGAATCATCAGGCAGCGTTTGTAATTCAAAATTGTGTAAAGAGTGATATCAATAAATAGCTCCAAATAAATTATCTTCACTGGATGATCAAAGGGTAGTTTAAGCACAATACGCAGAAGATTTTTTTAGTCAAGAAGAGCCATAGATACGAGCGCGCGCACATCCTTTGGGGTGAGCTTGAGAGCTTGTTGGACCCAAGCGCCCTCCATTGGCACTTGCAGATGTCACATCGCTGTTTTGAGACACCCCGCTCCGCTTGACGGATGCGCAAACATAAACCTCGACACTTAGCCAAGTAGTGATGGTCAGCTGTGTAGTGAGCACAACAAGGCGAGCCTCCAGAAATGCGCCTTAGGCACAGTGAACTCGTGAAACGGGAGTGCCCCTGGCAGCGAAATGTTCGCGTACGGTTTCGAGATAACATAGGCATGTAATGTCGCGCAAGGCGCCCTACGTAGCTTCACGGTGAAAATCTGGCGTGAACGGCGCCGCGGTGGAACGGGGAACATGGCGTCGGGCTCGGCCAGGACTCCAGGCAGCCACGGGCACAGCTTTCGACCAAAAACGTTCCACAAACCTATGATATACTGCCATAGCTGCTCTGACATGCTTTGGGCCTTCATAGGGCAGAGCTACATCTGCGAAGGTAAAAAAATCTCAACTTATCTCTATTTATTTCAGCAAGTACTCCAGAGACTCATTACTTGAATTCCTTCACCACTCTCTTTAGAGTTCCTACTTCACCACCTACTGTTTCATTTACTTCTTTTCCCTTGTTACTTCATACACCAACACCCTTGGGATTCTTCAAGAAAACTCGCAACCTCGTTATAAAGCTTTCAAAGATTGAGTCCTTTGTTCCTCACGAATAGTCAAAGAGCGATAATACCTCGGGGATGATGCGCATTCTCTTCAGGTGCACCCACGAGGGTATATTTTAGAAGCATGCAGAGTCAAAGCAACATTTCCTATATGTTTCAAGAGCATTTTTGAGAATTATTTTAGAGATAATGATCCCACACAAGATTCTTTTCATCAACTTGAAAATCAATTTCTTCTTTAATTACAGATTTTTTTTTTATTTGAAATTATCTATAAATACACTTGAACTACTCCTCCATCACATATAGAGCACACACTCAGTTAAAATATTATTTTTGATAGACATTCTTGGAGTAAAAAAAATGTTCTATTTTTCTAATTATTTTTTTCTACGTTCTCGTGACATAAAATAGAAAAATAGTAGTAATAATAAATAAATATTATTGTTATTATTATCATCGTCATCATTGTTGTTGTGATCGATATCAAATATTTTAACTCGTTTTTACTTTCTACCATCATGCAATACATTTTATCCTTGTTCCTCATTTAGTTTTTATTCTCTTCGAATTTTTTTCAATAGTATTTTTTAACCGAGTGCGCCTGCAGAAAACAGGGTGAAACTGACCTCCTGCACTCCAATGAATGAAAAGTATTCATTGAGCGCTCTGTGTGTCTGTAGGTTTCTGGGTTACTGCCTAGAATTACCCGCGTATTTATCAACATTTTTTTCTACAAATTTCACTTATTTTCTCTTCAACTCTAATAAAAAAATTCTACAATGCAATGGACATTTTTTTTTTTTAATACCAATTACACTTTCAGAGTTGACCTTTTGAATAACAATTAACAATTTATTTCTACATGAATGTAAGATTTAAGTATAAAATACCAAGGTAAAGGAACGTGTATCGATAAGACATAAAAAGAAATTAAATCAATATTAGGAGTAAGGCCAGAAGTAAAACAAAGATCCTAGGTAAATATTTATGCTAGAATATAATTGTCTTTGAAACTAAATTAGGGGGTTTAGAAGCTTATAATGGACTTGAAGATTATCAGAAAGTACTTCTGGTCATTTTTGTGTTGAGTTGTATATGACTTTAATAGAACGTTAGATTCTTATCATTAGGTGAGTTAGTGTTGATCGTGTACTTGATGAACACTCGAGCTTTCATCGGCGGGAGAAAAAGAAACGTATAGAGCAGAGGGCAGTGGTGTCGCTGAGCTTTTGCGAGCATTGATCGTCGAGGTGGGGTGGTAGTGGTGGGATGCTCGACGACCAAAGCACAAGAGAGCAAGCGAGGTATGATGGCCGGGTCGAGAGGGAAGTAGAGATGACAAACTTGTGGTTACAAAAACGTTCAGAAGCATCAACAAGATCATAACTTCCATTATTATGAATGATGAAAAAAAACGTATTGAATTTAAAATAACTTTTTTTTTTAAAGCTTCAATGCTATTCAAATGGTAGTTCTGATATTCATTGAAACAATTTCAGTATCCCACAGGATTTCCGATTACAAGCGCACAAATAAGTTGGATGTTGCTCTCAAGCAATTGCGACTGATGCGGGGCGAAGGCATGCGTGGCCTCATTTCGAAAGAAAGCTAAGAGAGTAGAGTATAAACTTGTGCAAGTGAAAACTGGAATTCTTACTACGAAAGAGATGATGATGATGATAACGATGAAGATGAGAAGTAATGAGAGGTGGATAAAAAAAGCTAAACGAGCGAGAAAAAGATGATAATAATAGTAATAACAATAATAAAAGAAGTAGCTTAAAAATTCCTGCATGTTTTTCCTCTTGTTACTTACTATCTACTGTTAACCCTCTCGACATACACCTCTTGCCTCAAGCTTCTGAATCTTATTCACATTTCAAATACTAAGTGTTCCTACGGCGTTATATGACGTCAAATGCTTCTTGCACTACCCCATTTCTGCTCTCAGGGGATAAGTATGTATGCGCGCAATTGTTCGAAAAAATAAACAAATTTGTGAAGAGGAAGTAGGTAAACTTTTTAAAAAATTCATCAGTGCAATGGAGAATGGTCTTAGTCATGTTTTCCTCCTTTCATCTTATCCTTTTATTCTCATTTGTTACTTATACTCTGATGATGGACGTTGCTGCTGTTTCTGCTACATGTACACATTCATAGAAAGCACTTCATTCATGTTTACCCAAAGGAAACAAAACAGACTCGCGAACGCAACGAATGCGCAAACTACTTGTTTAGTTGAAGGTAATGTTGATTGTATGTATAAAGACCGTCATGGAGTTTGTTGGCAACAATTGACATTGTTTCAAGACAGTCAACAAGAACCAGCGAAAAACCTTCGTTCTACCTACGTCTTATTGGAATTTTCACTAATGTCCTACTCTAACAACTATTTAAACCTTTTTTCCAATCTTTATTCATATGCTTCACTGTAAATCTTATTTAAATAAATGCCAAAAATATAAATTGTCCTTTGCCCTTTAAATGTTTTTCAGTAATTAAATCTGTGAATTTATATTGATATGTACCATTATTCCAATTTAAATATCAGCTACTTGAATTTTATATTTGTTTTTTTTTTCATCATAAAAAATATTCAGGTTGATCAATCGTTTTGCATATACAACTTATGTATTATTTTCTAAAGATTATATACATTGCATCAATTATTCAAAAGCTGCAATGAGGCAAATATTTATACTGAGAATATTTAACCATTAAATATTTTCCCAGCAAATAGAAAATTGTTTAATATATATTAATACTTTGTCAATTAATGAATACTTAATAAGAGATATAATTTTATTATCAACATTTATTTGTTAAATTAAAAATAAAATCATATTATAAATATTTCTATACCATTATGGTAAATTATCATTGAATTATTTTTTAAATAATTTTTTCTCTCAAAAGTTTTTCAACAGTGATGAGAGACATTTTAATTAAGAACTTGCATAAGTCGATTATATGAAATATTATAATAACAATTAATTAGCAAAGAAATGTAATTGTTTTCATCATTTACTTAAAGTTGATGAAATTTTAATCTTTCTATTGCCCTTTAACCTTTCGACACATATTTTTATTTAGTGTCTTTAAGCTTCACTCAATTTCAACAGATTTATGCAGCTGAAAAGTTGCTAGAATAACTGACAGGAAAAAAAGTGCGTGGCTTCGAAGCATGGTTTATTTTAAAGTTTACCGGAAACGTATAAACCTCTTAGTGGTATATATGAACGTCACGAAGTTGCGTGTTGTCATCCAATGAGTGCTATTGTTCGAAAAATAGAGCGACGTTATGATAAAATTTTATTCGGATTTGCAATGAGTACATGCAAGAGAGAAGAAATAAATAGAAAGAATAAACATATGCCACAAATGTTGTCGTTGCTTTATATTCATATGTCTATTCATGAGTTTCATATTAACATTAATCGATTGTTCGATTTAGATTTTACATTAACTCATGATTTAAATGAAATGCTTCATCCACTTGAAGAGAATTGCATCAACTCCAATTCAAACTCCTTCTTCCTTATAGTTCTTTAAGCATACTTTTGTCCTACTAACTCAATAGAACTGATATAATATTTTTTACTTGCAGTTTGTAACTTCGTAGTGCATGATCGCTGTCTCGGGACCGTCGTGTCTCCCTGCTCCAGCATCGCGGCAAGCCTCATCAAGGTATTTATCTCTTTTTTGTCAATACTCTATTAAAATAAAATTAATTTTATTATAAAAAGTCAGTAGTGTAATAATTATAAATTTTTTTTGTATATAAATACCAGAGTGGTGGTATAATTATAATTAGTAAGATTAAAACTATAGCTTTATAATTTGAATGTCTGTTAAATATTTTTCAATTCATACATTTCACTTGTTTAAGATATAAGTCGTTTTAATTATGCTGCCACCACTGTTTTTAATTTTGTTCTTTATGATTTTTTCATTACATAGAAATATAAATTTTTTAATTAAGCTGTTAGTTGAAAAAAAAAATTATTCCTACATGAGCTTTCATGTTTTGTTGAATAACAGAGAAAATTTTTCAAAGCTTAATTTTAGCAGTTTATTTTCAATTCACTGAACACAATAGCATAATTAAATTTTTGTACCTCTAGTATGTATACAGCTTTATGCGAAGTGTAGATAATTTTATTCAAGAATATCTATATAGCTAAGTATATTGCCCACAAGTGCAAGTATCAAGCTATTGTCGAGGTTTCGGTTAAGTCAAGAGGGTTACTATCGACCTGAATTCAAGCAACTAAAAACTCAATGGAATATTCATTCACTGAATGAATGAAACAGTGACATATGAATGAATCATTGGGCAGTTGCATCTTTGTTCAACCTTTAGAGATATTGATAATATGCAATCCTTTAAGTGGTTTGTATTTCAAGGGTGTGATTCTACAAGTTTACTAGGTAATCAAGTAGTAAAGGCTACAGTAGATAGTGCCCTCAATTGGTCGGACAAAGCGGATTGAGCTCTTATCAGACTAATTTATATTCAATTAACAGCTTAATAATTACTCTAATAATTTCATACATTTGATTTTTTTATAAATAAAATTATTCCATAGTACCATTTCATATTTTCAATCAATTCTATTTGTTGCAGAACCCGGTTGCACATTGCTGGTCTGAACAGCCGGTACACCAGAAGAAAAAATTTTGCAATGTTTGTCGAAAACGTCTCGATGATACATCTCAGTCTTTACACTGCGAAAGTGAGATTTTTATAATAAATTATAAGCTCATTTTTATGGCATAATAAATTCATATTAATTAAGTTATAATTGAAATTCACTTTAAAATATTTCAGTTTGTGAATATTATGTACACACGGACTGTCAGGACTTTGCGGTCGCAGATTGTAAAGAAAATGCAACATACCTGCCGGAAAAAGACTTGAGGTCAGTGAAACATACGCATCACTGGCGTGAAGGAAACCTCCCTACTGGTTCAAAATGTACTCTATGTAGAAAGAGTTGTTCCACAGAGTGCCTATCTGGATTCCGATGCGAGTGGTGTGGCATGACGGTAATTATTTTATTTTTCTTTATCCTGAAAAGAATAAACAATTAGATGCATTATAATAAATAATAATAAGTTTAATTATTATCTAAAACAATAGCTTCAAGAGAACGAAATTTATTTTTAGAAGCTCTTGAAATTATTTATAATGATATAGAGCTTTTCATTCACCTCTTACTAATAACCTAGTTTAAAATTAAATTTATTAACACTATTAGAAAGTTGTTAGGAACATTACAAGAAGTTGATTGAAGTAAAAAAAAAAATTTTTTAATACCAAAAAAGTAATGAAAAGAGTAGATGATTTTCGTAGAATAAATAATGATTTGATTTGTTGATTTGTTTCTTAATAAAAATAAATTTATTTCGCAAAGTGGTAATTAATTGTCAATATAATTTGCTTTTAGTTGCATGCCACCTGCTTTGGAAATCCAGCAGTTTCACCAGAATGCACCTTTGGAAATCTAAAACCCATTTATTTACCACCGTACGCAATCAGTATCCCGCGTACAGAGGTGCCAATGGAGGCAATTATTGGTGTACAAGTGCGACGTAAAGAAAATTCAACACGTAAGCTATTAATAAAATTTATTTCAACCATAATTTTTAGTTGTAGTCTTCATATAGACCATTAATCACGGAATAGAACCACAAATTAGTTTAAAAAAAAAATAGCTCTTTCTGTCAAGAAATTTAAATAACATTACCAGAAAGTTCATGACATGTTCAACAAAATATATATGTAATTGTTAAATGGTATTAATTTGTGGTGAGTTACGTGTTAAAAGTTAAACAATTATTATACTCGCAAAGCATGCTAAGTCCAATGAAACTCTTTATTTACTGCTTATTGAAAGTTTAACACTATTTATTAAATGAATAATTATCACAAGTTATGATAAACATATATGATGACACTAGCAGTCACACGGTTTATCAATCAAAATCACCACTTCCATGACATGGTCAGTAAATATTCAATATTATTTATATTTTTTTTTCTCAATCGCAACTTTTTATTCTACTTTTTATTTTCTCGACGTCACATTAAAATATTCATCGAGTCAGGTTTGTGTAATGTATTTTGTCTGCACGGTCACCCTGAAATTTAATACATGCTGAGAAATATCGTTGAAAAGTATTATATATATATTTTACATTTTCCAACTTTGTCTTCTGAAAAATTCATTTTCTGTGTTGTCATGTTTCATCTTAGAACAATTATCTCTGCTCCAATAATATCTTGTGCTTGCAGCTCGTAAAAAAGCAAATATGGATATTCATTTCTGTTCAAGTTATTTGCATTGCTGCACGAATATCAGATTCTTCCTAATCTGCAGTTATTCGATTAATCACAATATTTGGCAAAGAGATAGAAATAGAATTAGAATAATTGTTTTCAACTGAAACAAATAAATCATTTAATTAAAGAGTCAACGATATGTAAAATCCGCGCAGACGTACAAAAAATTATTTTAATGTTCATTCGATAAACAATTGAACTATAAATAATGACACCGGTTTGATACAAAAATCATTACACCGTTCAACAGTATCTACACATAACTAAAAAATATTATTAAATAAAAGTAGGAAATTAATGATGAAATTATTGAATAAAAAAAAAATTATGACGAAATTCGGACCATCGTTTTGCTTCTTATTTGAAGATAACAACGGAGAGCAATTCGATTTTGCTGAGAGCGCACGAATTGGGGCGACAGGTCATCTGGCCGAAGCTTTCAGACGCCTTTCACTAGTTTTTCCACGTAGCTGCCATGGAAATTGTCATGCTTCCCCTCCTTATGTTCGAGGTACCTAGACTTTTAACCATCGTCGTGCAACTGATGTGTTTGTGAGCATATGAATCGCGAATCTTACATTGCATCTCAATCGTTTTATCCAAACCGATATTATGTTTAATAAAATATGTGGCATTGTAAAGGATTTTTTTTATTCCTACATATTCTAAATAGAGCACAATATTTGGTTTTGTTTTTTTTTTTATGTCATACCTGTCTTTTTGGAGTGGAGTAACGAGTAGCTTGGCTATAAATTATATTTTTTTGTGACGTTAACAAATTTCATCAATTTTTTTTTTCTTTTTTGTTTATTATAAAAATCAATTGTCATTTTTAAAACATTCATTTTTATCACAAAAGAATCTTATTTTAGCTGAATCACTGTAGTTGATCACACTTTTTTATTATTTCATAGTGCATTTAAATCAACGTTTATTCAATCATTTAATAATTAATTTTAAAATATAACATTTTTATTATTAAAAAACATCATTCAAACAATTCAAGAAAAATGGTCTATCCAATAATAGATATTCATTTAGTTTCTTTGAATTTTGATTAAATATGATTTTTCAATGTATTTATTTAATTAAATTCACTGCATATTTGTAACAAACTAGAGCTTACGATGTTTCCTAGTGTTAAGAGTAGCTTGTGATAATATAATACATACCCTAGAATGTATTGTTCTTGAAAATTGTCTTTATGCTACAGTGCTGTCATCACTTTGAATATAAAAGGCTCTTGTGATTCATAACATTTATTCATAAACCCCTATACATGTTCTCAGGTAAATGTAACTCAATTTAAATGACTAGCTGGTTATTTACAGACTTTTTAATCTCATCCTAGAACGCGTTCTGGAATCAATAACTTGAACATTGACGAGCATAATAATACATAGATTTATGCCATCAAAAGCCGTGTGTTTATCGTCTTCAAAGTTTCTTCATTAAACGTAAACGCGGCCATTCCAATTATTTATTTATATACTTTTGTTATCGTCAATTTGATTTAGCATGTTTGTATTTGACTTCTTTTGCATGAAAAGCTATTCCATCTCACCGGATGAAATGCGAGATTTTGTGGAGCTTAACAAAGGTATTATATTATTGTAGAAAGCTTTTTTTAGTTGCTCATGGTAAGGGAAATCGAGCAAAAATAGAACGTTGAATGAAATTGGTGCATATTTGAATCTTTCGATACTCACAAATGCTAATTAACCTCATTCATTTGCTTTTCCTTTCAATTGTATATAATTTTTCTCTTTTATTTATGATTTTAATTGCAAAGTCTAATCTAACAAAATTAAACAGAAGATCAATAAAAATGTCAAAATAATTATATAAAAATATTAAAGTGATAAAATAAAATATTGAAATCATTTTAATATCATTTATCTCATAAATTTATCGTTGACTTTTTTAATCTAAATCATTTTCCAATTAATTTATGCTATGTATGCTAAATAAATCCTTTTACAGCTGTAATTAATTTTTTGATTTCTCTTTTCCTACACCTAGTCATTGATTATTAATTTGTTTGCTTACAGCAAGAAGTACATCGGAAGAATTCAGCAGTGGAGACACGAGAAATCGCGACAACGATGAATTAACACAATCGGCAAGCCACAGTAAAGATTTGAGATCCCCAAAAGAAAAAGATGATAAAGAACGAGGAGATGAAGGTGTGATATTTTTTTATTCCTCATTTTATAATCGTCTTTTTTGTTTGTTAATTTTTTTTTAAGGATTAAATTAATAGAATTTTTTAATATCCTATCATGCAGAAACGATAAAAGTTTACGATGGCAATTTATCCATGAGAAGAAAAATATATCGGGTAATCAACGTGCCTCGTTCAGCGACTACAGCAGAGATTCTTGCAGCGGCTCTTAAAGCGTATCACATCACGGAAGTACATCCGGGTATGTATTCACGTGAAATAATCATATTTATAATCTCATCAAGTATTTATATTGCTATTAAATTTTTTAGTGAGTAATATCTTTTAAATAATTTAATATGACGAATCTCATGCTTACAGGTTCTTTATATCTAACTGATTTGTATGCACCTGAGGAAACACAATTGTGTGATCCAACGCCTGTGCTTAATTTGCATCGTAAAGAGGGCAAACGCCGTGGAGTCATCCTACGATACAGGTCAGTAGATTAAAAAAATATTATTTATTTCTTTACAAAAGCAGTAATTTATAAACAGAAAATATTCTATTTTTATTATATTCTGACAAAAGTTATTTTCAACTGTCTTTCATGATATTAATTAATATTTCATCATAGAAATTTGTATTTTTATTTAATGAAAAGCTGACCTTAATTTTTTACTTACATCATCCATTTAATTTTTTACAGAGATGAGCCAAGCGGTGAAGTTTGTGTTTATCCCGGTAAACTTCAAATCCCACAGCCTTACTGTATGGTTCAAGTGAATGATAGGACAACTGTAGGTGATCTTATTCGAGAAGCACTTCAAAAATTTGGTCTGAATGATTTCAACTTTGACGATTATCGATGTAGTGAAATCCTCATGAATCGTGGCGGTAAGTTGAGCTAAAAAAAAATTTCTCGGTTCTTAAAATAGAAAAGATAATTAATGGAAATGTAATTTTTTTTTCAGGCGTGTCAGAAAGAGTGTTAGATATTGATGAGAAACCCTGGGAAATTGTCAAGCTATTGGGAAAAGATTCGATCAGGCTACGAGAACTAATGAGATTTTATCTTCAATTGAAGCAGGATCCACACGGCCCTAATCTCGCATTATTTGTTGGAAATTTACCACCAAATTCGAGTGAAAAGACATACGAAACTATGCTCACTGAATTTTTGGGACAAGGTAAATAAACAGGACAGTTTTATTTAACAAACTCATAACAATAAATCATAACAACAACAAAAAATACATTCACGTTCACATCTACTTATTGAAAATAATATTGATTGAAAGCTCTACTTTTTAATCGAAAGCAAATTACTCGTAAATTTATGAAATAAAATCGTAAAAATATTTCATTTTAATAAATAATTTTTGGCTAATTTATAGAGAATAAATTTTCATCAATCGGACCAATCTATTATGAGTATGGATCGATGGTGATAATTTACGAAGACTCAGAAAAAGCAGTACGAGCTCTGTACTTACTGCGAGAAGTTAAATTCGATGATAAACTGCTTCTTGTTATGCTTCTACCAAGTATTGAACCAAGCATGATACCATCAGGCGTTCAGCCATTATTAGTATTTGTCAACGTCAAATCAGGCGGATGTCAGGGTCTCGAATTAATTTCCAGCTTTCGCAAGCTCTTGAATCCCTATCAAGTATTCGACTTGGACAATGGTGGTCCACTACCTGGGTTAGTTAAAATATTAGATCATTAATTGTACAAACAAAAACGATTAGACATGAAATATTAATTGCTATTACCTTTTTTCCCAACAGATTATACGTTTTCCGACACATCAGGAATTACAAGATATTAGTTTGTGGCGGTGATGGCACAATAGGATGGGTATTACAGTGTTTGGATAATGTAGGTCAAGACAGTGAGTGCTCATCACCGGCATGTGCTATTGTACCTTTAGGAACAGGAAATGATCTTGGACGGGTTTTATGTTGGGGATCTGGATATACTGGTGGTGAAGATCCGTCAAATCTTTTACGAGATGTTATTGACGCTGAAGAAATTATACTTGACAGATGGACTGTAGTTTTTCATCCTCAAGATCAAGACGAATCCGCTGGTAAAAAAATATCTATAATTAGTATTTAATCGTTCAAGAATGATTTTTATAATCGAAAAGAATTTGTTTTTTCTTAATTATTCGTTAATCGTAATTTGCTCAGAAAAAATAATATGTTCTACTATTTAATATTGTACAAACAATTAAGATGGACTTGTGGTGATTGAATAATTGATAGAAATTTTTGTTTTTTTGTCAGGAGCAGGATCTACAAGTGAAGATAATTCTCAAATGTTTGTCATGAATAATTACTTCGGCATCGGAATCGATGCAGCTCTTTGTTTAGACTTTCATAACGCAAGAGAAGAAAATCCAAACAAATTTAACAGTCGATTTCACAATAAATCGGTTTACGTCAAAATGGGTTTGAAGAAAATGGTTGATAGAACTTGTAAAGATTTACAAAGAAAAATCCGATTAGAAGTTGACGGCAAATTGGTGGAATTGCCACCTTTAGAAGGACTTATTATTTTAAATATATGGAGGTAAGCTTACTTTTCTTAAACAATCACTAATTTCTTAAACATCATTGTTTAATATTATTTTATTCAACAATAAAGTTGGGGATCTGGAGCAAAACCATGGGGTGAAGATAGAGATGAACAATTTCTCAAACCAAACCATTTTGATGGCAAGTTGGAGATTGTGGGAGTAACAGGCGTTGCACACTTGGGACAAATCCAATCTGGTTTGCGAAACGCTCTTAGAATAGCACAAGTAAGTGTAACAAAAATCTCATATTCTACATAATTTTGCTATAAATCTCTTGTGACTTAACAATAAAAATATAACATCATTTTTACTCGATAGGGCGGACATATAAGAATTTTTTTAACTTCTGATACTCCGGTACAAGTCGATGGGGAGCCTTGGACCCAAATTCCAAGTGAAGTTGTCGTACTCAAATCCGCATTGAAGGTAATGATTCTTACTTATTCTCTCTTTTATTCATTCTTTAGTTTGATACAGCAATATATTCTGAAAATAGTTATTTTTAAAATAGATAGTCACATAGAATTTATTGAATGGACTTCCTTTTTTAACTCTCTCACAACTTCTGTTTATTGCAGTAGACATGAATCTCTTTATCGGTTATAAACTTGGTAGTTTTAAAAAATTTATTTTAATTGACAATATTTTGTATCGTAAAGTTTTTTAAGAGTTTAAAGTTACTGAAGAATATTATAAAGATGACTTAACTATCCTAAATAATTGACTGAGTTTTGAATGAGTTCGAAAAAACGATATAAGTTGATGAAAATATTGCTGTATCGAAATAATAGAAGCACGTTTAACCAAATATTTGACTTATGCACGAATGGTTTTTGAAACGCATCCGGACATTAGTAGTAGTGAAAATATATTTTTAACGTTTCGCGGCAATTTTATTTGAGAAAGCATAAACTTAAAACTGCCAAATAGTCTGTCAGCGCATGGGATCCTTCCCTACCAAGACCCCAAATCGCAATCTACTAATATCTTCCTTATTCCTTTGTTCACTTCAGGCTACCATGTTGAAGAAAAATAAGATCAAGCGTCGAAATACAGAACCGACGATTCTACCCGCTAATGGGGAGGGGGGCAAGTGCACGGAAGAGTAAATCAGCAAATCAGCGACTAAAAAAACTAGTGTGGGTCATTTGAATAGCTTAAATCAATTGAATAAAAGAGAAAAAATTTTAAATAAAAAAAAGGTTTGCAAGCTCTGCCCTAGACTCCTCCGTGCACGCGTGCGTTCGTACATGCGCGCATAGTGCAAAGAAAGGGGAGTTTCGGACAAGGCAGACCTTTCATACGGTCGATCCAGCAAGTTCCCAATGCATGCAATCTCCTAATCAGTATCTCAGTATCTCAATCTCTTTGTTTCCCCTCCTATTCTCTTTATATATAAATATATATACACATATATATTTACTATCTTCTCTCACTATCTTTGTCCATTCCAAAATACCTTTGTCCTACGCAGTTTGAGCTTCTCGTAATATATATATATATATTATGCATCTGTGCATATTTTCTATACAATTTATCTTAAATAAGCGGGTATTCATATATGCCCATGTAATTCTTCCAGTCAGTATTTTTATCTTCAAAGTAGGAATCTTTTATCCACGTCTTGCGTTACTATTTTATATATTTAATTATTATCAACTATATTTGTTATTATTAATTATTACGTACCATCATATTTTTATTCAAACAATATTCTTTATTATATCGAGTTCTGAGTTGTTTGTTGCAATCGGGTTGTCATTTACTTCGTCATTGGCACTCAATTATTATCGATCGCTCCTTTGTGCATCCCCCTGATCCTGTCCCTTCCTAGGCCACGATGCTGAAGAAGACCAAGGGTAAAATGAAGCGACGAAATACAGAGCTGAGCATGCCGCGGTCACTTCAAGTAACATCTAACGATCCTGATCCTAAAGTCTCCTGAGTGGTACACGAGTTCTTTACTGCCCTCAACTATTCGTTATGGATCGTCCGATGTTTTTATGAATGTGCCGCCATTAAATATCGAAGACTAATCGGCCTCCAACGTCATCAAAAATAGTTGAGCTGGACTCTTTGTAGTAGTTTAAGTACTAAGCAAATGTGCTCTGAAAGAAATAGAATGACTTATGAAATTTAACAAATACAAACTATGAAAACAAAAGGAATGAGTTTAAGTAAGATAGCCGACGTGTTAGATAAAATTTTATAAATAATTTGTAAAAATTTATCAGCAACTATTGAAAGTGCTAAGGTGAAAATGAAATTTTTGTTCTGGCGTCAATAGAAAGAAAAAACAATAATTATCACCTTTAAATGTTCACAATCATAGCACAGTATATAAATATATATAAATAGTCAATCGAATATTTTTTTAGTAACTCTTCGATAGGCCGTGATATATCACGGATATACGAAAAAAATTGCACAAAGATTGACATGAGAAATGTAATTATTAAAATTAAATGCTTATATAAAGTTGTTTTCTGCATTTATGTTTTTGAAGAATGTTAACTATTCAGAATGTGATGATTATAGAAAAAAATAAAAAAAAGATGATCTGTATTGTATAATATTATGTTTTGTGTGATTAAGTGAAACAATTGTCAATCAACCAAAAATTTACCACAAAATTCATGGCAATTGCCACGATATAAAAAGAGAATTAAAAAAATAGAGTTGTTATCGATATTAATGATTAAATTGAATGAATAATATTTACAATTAAATATTAACATATTTACATACTACTGTATTAGTATTAAATTTTCATTTATGATTGTTGTTAAATTTGGCTGCGGGGCAGTCTGGAGTTCACAATTAACGGAAACCAGTCGCAGTCGATTTTCATTAGAATTCAATCAATTGATTATCATTTATATTTATTTATAAATTAATAAAATATCAGTAGAAAAAGTTCTTTTTTCAACGACCGCAGGCTCGGAATCTTTACCAATTCATCTCTGAACCTTGCCAAGGTAATGCAAATAAAAGAAACATTAATTGGAAAATGTTACTGAGGTGATTTGGTAATGCCCGAATATAATAAAAGGGCAAGACTCTTATAAACTACTGAATAAATCAATTTAATCATGTAGATTATAAAAGTCACTTAAATAGAAAGAACAAATAGAACATATTCTACTTTTATGTCACAAAAAAAGCAAATACATGTACAATTCATAATCTATGCCAAAGAAAAATTTTTAACGTGTTCACTTAAGTTGTTCTGACACGTCGCGGTTGTCGGCATGAACACAGTCAAATGTAAAACCAAAATTACAAAAGAATATTAGATTAAAACTATTTGGACGGTACTTACAATGTCCCAGGGTGATTCTGCGGCACAGGCACTGTGAGTCAACCATGGAACGAGCACCATCGAGACATTTAGCACGTCCTAATTATATTTACCATATAGGCTTCGCGACGATGAATTTTGTTCGATTTAACGAGTGTGTGTTGGCATTATTTGATTGAGAGACGATTTTAGGTGCCAAACAAGATGTAAATAATAATATAATTGTAGCTGTAAGATTAATATGACGATTATTGTAAAGTTAAGAAAGTGATGTCGCATGTTAATGCCAAAATGGGTGTATAAAATATATAAAGAATATACATACATAGAGGATGAGACGTGTTGATCATCTGAATGTCAAATACAGTTCATCGAGCATTACTGTAATGTGTAAGGGACTCACGTGGGCTGTGTTGCGACGCTTGGGCCAGTTTAATTGAAGTGCAAAAGAGAATATATGCCTTCGTTATGTAGAAAATTATGAGAGTGTGGGAGAGAAAGAGCGAGAGTGTGAGTAAGTATGAGCGGAAAGTAATTTAGCGAGAAAAAGAGAAAAAAATTATAAAAAGTCGCAGGTGACACAATATGCAGACACCTAGTTTGTGTTATAAAAGCGCTTGTAGAACGCGCTCTTGCACCTAGTCCGACTAATCCCGTAGACTCCGCTGGATGTCTTAAAAAAATATTCATTGAAACCAAAAAAAAAACAAGAAAAAAAAATTATAAAAATGAAAAATAATATTGAAAAAATAAAACTTACCAAAAAAACCAAATTAAAGTGGATGCCATCGTATCCGGATGATCGAATGGCATCTTTTCTCTAACCTGCCGTATTTGTATGTGGGCTCAGTCACTCATACGATTCATCCGGTTTCTTCGTATGATTGGCACATTTACGGCAGATTGGCGATTACGTTTGTTAATTTGACCAAACTGTAATACTGTAATACTTGCTGTTGCTATAAAAGATAGACGAATAATAAGCTATGAACAATCTACGTATAATAAATGAATGTATGTGCTACAAGATAAAATATTTACTTGTTATTCTTTGTGATTTTCAATTCACTTTATCCTTATTCAACTTATTTTTATTACCCTTTTTATAGTAACTTTCAACTTCACAAAAAATGCAAAACCCTGAAGTACAGATGTCATCTAATTTTCATGTGGCAACTCAAAGTATCATTTATAAAGAATCATAATATAATCAAAAAGTATTATACCACATCAAGAGTCCTTTAATTTTTACTAGGGTCACGCAGTAATACGGGACCATATGTGCAAGCCCAAGGAAATTTATTACATCACCCAGTAAAAATGCTTAGACGATAAAAAATTTTTAAAACCCTAAAAATTCGAATGGGTTACCCATTGGATTTTTATCGGGTCCCTCAGTAAATTTTACTGAATGCTGAAATAAATTTTACTTATGTTACACATCAAATTTTCTTTGATCCAGAAAAAAGGATTTTCAGTGAAATTTCATGAAATTTTCTCCCCGTGTAGGCACAACAACCATATTTGAAAAGGATATAAATATTTATTCGGATATTCGGAGATAAATATTTAAAATCGATGAGAATACATAGAAGAAATAATCTTCATATCTCAGAGAAAGGGCTGATCGTCATTATGTGGAAATAAAATTGGTTATTATATGTTCATTATAACATGTTATGATAGAGTAATTATTTTCGCATAAACTCACGTGAAAATCCGTAAAATTATTAAAAATTTCATCTTCCTGACTGTTTCTTCAAATAAAAATATAAAAAAAATAGAGATAATGTTCCGGTACAGGTCAAGTTATAAATATTCTCAGAAAGTACCATAAAAATTACAAACAGCATCCATAAATAATTGACCGCTCTATTCTTCTTGTCAATCACATGTTGCAACCATTTTATGACGGTTCGTTTTCAAAATTGTGCAGTTAAATACTGATAATTAGCTTTAATTTATTGGATATTTTTACTCAAAAATATTGACTTTCCTTATATTATAGCTTCATAGAATTGTGATTAAATATGATATAACCGTTTATTTTTTGCTGTAGTTGCGAATTTTGAAGTTTTTCATGAAATAGCACAGATAGCGCTCCAGAATGTTCAGTAACGACATAACCTATGTCCACCATTAAACATCAAAAATATAGAGAGAAATAAAAACATTTGAGTCTCTTTTTAGCACGTGTATTTACTTATAAGTTAAAGGATTGTTGGTAACATCAATCACCAGTTGCTAAGCTGTGTCATTACTCTTCTGTAAATTCTTTAGTATTTATTACTTACTTTTGACGAGTGTTGTTTTCAATTTTTATGTATGTTTTTATAAAACAGCGGTTTTCTTTCAAATTAATCAAGTTCGACTATGAAATTAATTAAAGTGTATATATAAAAAATATACTTATATAAATACATAAAAATCAAAGTCAATCGGAAAATCAATTCCATGATTCTTTTCTACTTAAATTTATGCCTAATTATAGATTTTATGGAATACATTTCAAAAATGTATTAAATTTTGGATTTAGGAAGGATTAGTTGGTTAGAACTACTTGAAATTTTTTCGGAGAAAGCTATTTTGAAATTGCCAATATATCGTCTAAAAGTGTTTGTAATATTGAATATTAATCAATTTAAAATTATGCAATCTAAAAACTGTATGGAAACAGAAACAAATACTGATGTTCCATTAGTTGAATCAGGTAAGAAATGAAATTTACTTAATCAGTAAAAAATATTTATAATAAATATTGATATTGGTGAATTTTCATTTTACAGAGCAATGGGACTGCTCACAGAATTTATCAAATTTATGCAGAGTATGTGCTCGATTCGATGATCATATGATTCCTATATTTGGAAGTAATTTGAGACATGATTTATCTGGTAAAATCAGAACTTATTTATCTGTAACTATTCAAGAATCTGACAAACTACCATTACAAGTATGTGACAATTGTGCTAGCACAATATTGGCTTGGCATGACTTAGTGAGTGGCTGGAACACTGCTCAACAAAAACTTATACAAATTCTAGAAAAATTAGAAGCTAAGCAAAAAGTGAATATACAAAATTATATTATCGAAATTTCCTTTCATTTATATGTTTTGCTTATAAATACACGATAAAGGCAATTTTATTATAAGTTACTTGTTTTAAATAAAAATTTCAGACACGAAAATCTATAGAGGTAGTTCCAACAAAAACAAGTAAAAAAGCTTCTCCAAAAAAAATGAAGGTAAACCAAAATATATTATTTTTATTTTGCTATTGTAATAATAGTTAATCTAACTATTTGATTAATTTTCTAGACTGCTCAAGAAGTGATTTGTATTTCTGATGATGAGGGACAGTTAGCTTCAACTCATTTAGTTCAAACGTAAGTTTTATTTATCTTTTAAAAGTCAATCGAAAATAATCGTCCTTCATTTTTTAGATCAACTTCTGATTCGAAAAAAATGAAAGAAGCTTCTTCAGATCTCAAGTCTAATGATCAAACTAAAAAACTCCCAAAAAGTCAATTGATCAAAAATAAGCCAGAGAAATCTAAAAAAGCATTGCCAACAGATGTAAACAGGAGACGGCTTAGTAAAGAAGAGATCAAAAAATATGAAAAAGTAATAAATGGAAAAGCATTTTACTTTTGTCCAAACTGTGATAAACATCTTCGTTCGCCTTATACACTTTTTGACCATATGAGAATTCATACAGGAGAAAAGCCATATAGTTGTTACATTTGTGATAAAGAATTTCGATTGAAAAGGAGTTTGATAAAACATATATTAAGCAAACATGCCGATCATACGTAACAAGAAGAATAGGATATTAAAAATGATAAGATTAGCATTGAAATTCTTATTATTTAAATGCTTGGGATCTTTGCAATAACATGTCGTCAGTGAAGTTCTAACAGTGCGTAAGTCCAATGTATAAACATATGACTTACATGGTGTTAGAACTTCAGCGACGATGTTCTAGATGAAACAAAGTTTTCCATTTAAAAAGTAAAATCTCAAATTTTCGGGAAAGAAGTATTTGTGATATGTGTCATAAATTATTTAAGGATTTAATAATTAAAAAGAATCATTTGTGTAAATGTTATAAAGCTACGAAGATGATTAATCTTAAAACTAAAGATGTTATTTGTGTGATTGTATGAGACTTTAACATGAGCCTTAAAAACACTGTATATCTTTTATTAAATGTGAGTGGTTACTCTTTTTAAAAAAAGAGTTTATAAATTTTATCATGCAAAAATTAGTACGATGGGACCAGCCTAATGCTATTTGTTTATTAGTAGTTTTATTTTAATTTGAAGTTACATATAACAAACATCGATACTTTCATTCATTTAATTTTAATTTGTTTGTCGTTTTTTATATGGAATTTTTCTATTCAACTTTCCAAAGTTATTTATGATTTAAATATATTAATTTCATTTTTTTTAAGTGATATAAAATTATTATAAGGAAAGTCAAGGCAATATGTTATCAAATTATCGATCTCGTAAATGAGTCAAAGTTAATCTATGGTTATTATACTTAAGTTGTCAAAATATATTTTCAATAATAAATATTTTATGATTCTAAAAGAACAAATATGTTTTACATTTAATTTTCATGCATTTAAGACTTACCTTTACTTAATTTAAACATTTATTGACTAAATTGTCGGATTGGTCTCGTAATAAGCATTTTAATTTTTCCCGCGCTTCATGATCCTATTAGTCGTTGAATTATTATTATTTTTGTCATAATTTGGTAAAATATGTATGTATACGAAATAGTATTTAATACGTGTTATTTAAAAAAAAGTGAAAAAATATTTCTCTTACTAAGAAACTATATGTAATATCTAATTAAATTTTTTAGCTTGTTATTACGATGTTCAATGATTAACTTATTTAATTTCAATATGGCGATGGTTATAATAGCGTCAAATATATATATAAATGACGCTTCGGAGTTTTTATTTAAAAATGCATAAAACACTTAAATCGTTACTAATTAATTGTACCTAATATTAAAATAATATAAACTATTATATGATTCTTTAATTTTAGTGAGTTAAGTCTAATTTTGTGCACAATAATAATGATAATTTTGCTTGAAATAAGCAATTATCTTATTGAACAATTACATGTAAAAAAATATTAGACTATTTGTGCCATTAGCGGAATAAATATTTATTTCTTAGATTTAAATATTGTGGTAAATAGAACATTTCGAATATAGTGATTGTTATATATAACTTGACTTATTGCCCCATGTTATTAATAAAATATAAACATGTTTTTATTTAATCCGTAGGATGATGATAATAAACACGCTATGGAAGTAGATCTGAATAATGAATTAAGTTGTACTCAAGCAGGTTAAAAATTAGATCAACTTGAATTAATATTTAATCTGATATTCAACGTTAATGATAATCTTATTTTTAGGTGAATTCCAAAATACTGAAAATCTAGTTGAATTATGTAGATTATGTGCAGTCACTAGCGATCACCTGATTCCAATTTTCGATGGTGAAGGTTTACAGCATAATTTGTCCAGTAAAATAAATAAATATTTACCAGTAAATGTAACAGAAAATGATACATTACCTCAACAATTATGTTATCACTGTGCCGCAACTATACTCGCTTATCATGAAATTTCCGAAGGTTGTTTACATGCTCAAGAAAAATTACTTCAAATTCAAGAAAAAATAAATAGTAGACAAGTGGTAATAATTTTAATTTCCGATAATAGTAAAATTATAAAATGTAATTGAATAATTTCAATCATATATTTCTTTACTATTTTAGGAAGAAAATGTTGTACCAATTAACGAATTTCAAGAAACTAAAGTAAAAGATGTTCCAACAAATTCGTTAACTGATCAAGAGCAAGTATGTAACATAAATGAATAATTCGTTTTGATAGTCTTTAATTATTTCTTATCGGATTTAATTACATTTTAGATAATAAGTGACGAGTCATATAATAATAAAGACAAAAAGGATGAAGATCTCAATTCTTCAGATAGAAATAGGTTAGTAAAAATGTTTCTTGAAATAGTCGGTTTTCAAAGATAATAATTTTTCTAAATATAGTTTCAATTAGTTCAGTACTTTTATATATATTATATCATATCACATGAAATAATCATAACAAAATAATATAATTGTAACTTTGAATAATTATTAATAGAAGATCAAAAATAGTGCACTCAAGTCTCGAGTCAAGCTCTGACTGTTTTCCAGGTCCTGTAATATCACATCGAGACTTGAAATATTTTCTGACATGCAGAATAAATTACAAAAACCATTTAAATACATATACGATGAACATGAAGATTGCAATTCCATAATAGTGGATAGTGAAGATAATGATAATGATACTGATGATCACGACAATGAACAATCTGAAAACAATGACGATATTCAGGTAATTGAAGAAGATTCATTACAAAATAACAGAAGTAATGTTGAAATGAATCGAAATGAAACTGAGATCCAAGAAGAAAATTTCTTGCATGTTTCTAAAATGAATAATGAGTTCAATGCGAAAACAAAATGCTTAATTTGTTCTGCCACGTTTTCTGATGTCAAATCATTACATTCACATGTAAAAAGTCATGGTTTACCAGCAGCTCAAGAGGCTTATCAATGCATTGAATGTAGAAAAACCTTCAGACTGAAGAACTCTTTAGCACGACATCTAAGAATTCACAACAATGAACGATCATTTACTTGTCACGTCTGTGGAAAACAATTTAGAGATTCTGGAGGCTTAGCAAGGCACTTGAACGATGTTCATGCAAAACGTAAACCATTTCCGTGCGATATTTGCGGTAAAAGTTTTGCTTCAAACGCAACTAGGAATGATCATCGAAGAACTCACACTGGAGAGAGACCTTATGTTTGTGATTTGTGTGGAAAAAAGTTTAAATCGAAAGCATGTCTTTATATTCATAATAAAATACATACAGATGATTTTCCTCATCCTTGTCTTCTTTGTAATAAGAAATTCCGTAGAAGACAAGAGCTACTATGTCATACTACAACACATACTGGAGAAAAAAATTTCACTTGTGATAAATGTGATAAAAAATTTAGAATCAAATCAGAGTTAGCTAGGCATACAAGCTTACATTCAGACGAAAAACCTTTTGTTTGTAATGAATGTGGTTTATCATTTCGTCAACGACGTTATCTTAATAATCATATTAAAAGCAAGCATTTAAAAGCTAATTCATGACAACCAATTATTGAAATCAATTATTGAAATTCCCTGCATTTGTTATTTTTGCAGGTGTGCAGTTATTCGGCCAAGAAATACAGAAACTTCTCTGGCACATAAGTGTAGGACTAAAGCCAGTCATTCTGCCAAAGAATCTGATTTATATGACTTCGATGAAACTAGAGATATTCAACAAGACATTGGTAATAAAGAAGATCAATCAATTAAAAATGAAGAATTATATAAAACAGAATCGAATGTTCAAAAAGATGAAGAAGAACATCGAAGTGATGGAGAAAAACAAATTAATCAATCAGTAAAACGAAAAAAATTAACGAAAAATAAACGAACACGTTTCGAATCTTATCCTTGTATGTATTGTGAATTCATAGCTAAGCAAAAAAAATTATTATCTAAACATATGACCAGAGACCATCCAGATTTTCCATTAGATGAACAAATAAAAAAACCTTCACGAGCTGATAAAGAATTAATCAAAAAAGCTAGAGTAGAAGCAAATGGACGTGTTCATTACATATGTCAGGAATGTGATAAGATTCTTTTTTCATCTTATACGTTCTATTGTCATACGAGAATTCACACTGGTGAAAAACCTTTCACTTGTCATTTATGTGGTAAACAATTTCGTATAAAACAAGGCCTAGTTCGACATTTGAATGGAACTCATGCAGGTATAAAAAATTTTCCTTGTGATATTTGTACAAGAACATTTGCTACAAAGAGAATTCTAGATGATCACAGAAGAACACACACTGGAGAACGACCTTACGTTTGTAACACGTGTGGGAAAACATTTAAACAGAAGGCATCTCTATTCGTTCACAATAGAAGTCATACAAATTTTTTTCCATTTGAATGTATTCATTGCAACCAAGTCTTTCGTACCAGGCCCTTATTAATGCTTCACATTACCAAGCATACTGGAGAAAAACCTCACATTTGTGACGTTTGCCAACGACCATTTAGGATAAAATATGAGTTAAAAAGACATAAGCTTATTCATTCTGATGAGAAACCATGGCAGTGTTCAAATTGTGATTTATCATTCCGACAAAAACGTTATTTAATTAAGCATATAAACAACCACCATAAAGACATCATGTCATCAACGTAAAAATAATAAAAAATGGTCTTATTTCAGGTGTAGGAGAGAAGATGATCAAAATTTGAAAAGGATAAAAAATAGAATATCTCGAAAGATCATTAAGAAAAAAGATAAAAAAGTCTTGGTATCAGTGATAATAGTCAATGGTGTGAAACATTTCCAATGTCAAGAATGTAATAAAGTTTTTTCATCTAAATATAATCTCCTTACTCATCAAAATATTCATTCTGAAATACCTCCGTATGCTTGCGATTTTTGTGACAAAAGGTTTAATGCAGCTTCTGGATTAAATAGACATAAAAATCTTATTCATGCTCAAAATAAAACGAAATTTCCCTGTGATCAATGTGGAATGGAATTAAATTCTAAAGCTAACCTTCGAGAACATCTTTACACTCATATGAATGGCCGTCAATATATTTGTGAATTATGTGGTAAATGCTTTCGACAAAAATCGTCTTTATATACTCACTATCAATTCCATCAGTCTAAAGATACGCGTAAATACAGATGTAATATTTGTGACCATGCTTATCCACGTCGTCTTGACTTAGAAAATCATATTTTAATACATACTAAGGAAAAACCTCATACCTGTAATGTCTGTAATAAAACATTTCGTACTACTGGCTGTTTAAGTAGACATAAAATGACTCATGTAACTGAGAAACTTTATGTGTGTAACATTTGTGGACTGAAATTTAATCAAAAACGTTATTTGAAGAGGCATTGTAAAAATAAACATGATATGTGAAAAGATACTGAAATTATCTTAAAAACTATTTATGTTTGATGTTGAAGTTGAAAAATAGTATGAGCTTAAATAAAATTACTTAAGCTAAGAAATATTTATATTATAAAATATTAAATTGTAATAAACGAATTATTTTTATAAGTGAAACTATCTATTTAATTTGAATCAACAATAAAATTATTGTAAATGTAATTTATAAATGTAACAAATGTTTATCATAATTTTAAAATTGTTTTAATTATTTTTATAATATGTTATTTAAAAATAATTGTAACCATCACTTCTCTTTACAGATCTGATTTTCAGGAAGTTCAGCAAGTAGTATCAACGTTTGAAGAGAAGCAATTTAATGTAATTCGTCGTACCTTTTCTTTTGATGTTGTAAATGCTAAAGAACAACTGAAGGTTAATTTATTAAAAAAAGAGAATACTTATAAACAAGGTGCATTGAAAAATTCTACGCAAAGTGTTGGTGATATATTAGAAAAACCAACTAATAAAAATAAAAAATTAAATACATTCCATTGCTCAGCATGTAATAAAATTTTCAGAGAAAAAAAAAATTATAAAATTCATTTAAAATCTCATGCTGAAGAGCGACGGTTCACTTGCCACATTTGTGGAAAACAATTTTCATTAACAGGTAGTCTCTATTATCATTTGAAACACGTTCATGAAGGAGTGAAAAATCATGCTTGCGATATTTGTGGAAGATCATTTGCAATGAAAAAAGTAATGGAAGATCATCGAAGAATTCATACAGGAGAACGACCGTATGTTTGTGATTCTTGTGGGAAAACTTTTAAGACAAAAGCAGCTTTATATATTCATTCTAAAACTCACTCTGATCAATATCCATTCAAATGTACGTATTGTAAGAAGGGGTTCAGATGGAGACAACAATTACAAGATCATACAACCGTTCATACTGGTGAAAAAAAGCATACTTGTGAAGTTTGTGGAAAATGCTTTGGCGTCAAATATGGCTTAACAAGACATAAAAGAATTCATTCAACAGACAAACCTTTTATTTGTGAGAAATGTGGATGTTCCTTTGCTCAAAAACGTTATTTAAGAAGTCATGAACTTATCAAACACAAAACTTGAAGAAATAAAAACATATTTTTTTTACTTTGATGTTAATATTTATTTCTCTATGATAAATAATACAATGTAGTTAGAAATTAATAGTATGATATTATAACATAATAAAAAACAAATGAAGTTAATATATTTATAAAGATAATTAATGGATAATTATATTTCAAAAGTAACTGCAAAAGAATGAAGCTTGAATTTAGATACAATTTTCCATGTATCTAAAATTTAAACGTTAAATTTATGTAGAATGATAATACATGGAGATTAGTTTTTCAAAAAATAATGATCTAAAATATACGTAAAGATAAATAAAAAGATCATTTTTTCTTTTGGTTTCAGACTTTAAATTAAATCATTTTTATGTTAATATTGAGTAATGATAAAAGAATTAAATTATCGGAATGTTATTTACTAAAACTTATCAAAAGTCTAATTATTTAAATAATTATCCGAAAAAGATCATGTTTTTAAGTTATTTTTATAAAAGTATGAATATAAAATTAAGAAATGTGGGTGATATTGAAAAATGTTATGGTTAATGTTTCAAAACAAACTTAAGCTTTTTTTCCTTTGTCTTCTTCGGTAGGGCGTCCAATTTTCGGTAGATTGTTCAAATTCCAAGCATGAACAATGCCTCGCCCACATGATCGTGTGCCATTTCCATTTCGACTTGTTCCTGGAGCTTGAGGTGGTGGTGGTGATGATAATGATTCTGATCCTGATGATGATACTAAAGAGGATGATGAACCAAAAGTTGCTGCACATTTTGGGTTGGACAGATTTACTTTAGTTGGAGATTCTACATTTTTCTGACCTTTTGATGATTTCTTTTTATTATGAAATCTGTTCTCTGATAATTTATCATTACAGCTGTTATCATCAACACTTGCATCAACTTTGTTATTGGTATTCTCATCAGTGGATGGTTTTTCTGATTGAATAGCTTTCTGAACAAGTAATTTTAGTAGCTCTTTCTCTCTTTCTTCAATAATTTTATTTTTTATATCAATTGATTTTGCTTTTGATTCCATTTCTTTCTCAAGCTCACGAATCTGGGCTTCACGTTCTTTAATATTCATTAGCTGCTCTTCATTTTTTTTCTTTTGGTCTCTATTATTTCTTTTTGCATCTTCTAGAGTTTCCAATTCTTGGAAAGCAGCAACGCACTCTGATTTATCAGAAATAGCTAATGATTGTTTCAACTGATGAAGTAGAGCAGAATCAAGATAGAAAGTGTCGGGAGTTTGTGGTCTATCAGATTTATAATTGTCTTCGTCCTTGTTATTACTAATACCTGCATTGATAAGTTTTTCAGCCTTTGAAATGGATTGTGGCTTTCTAGTAGTATTTTCCATTTGAAGGAGGACAGATTCATTTCGTGGACGACGTAGTGATTGTGGTGATAATGACTATAAACGATTAAATGTTTAGATTTAAATAAAATAAAAGATTAATTTTTTATGTACACGAAAAGAATTAAAAATACTAACTTTATTATCTTCAAAGTTCTCTTTCTCTCGTTCTAGTTCAGCAAAACGACGTCTTTCTTGCATTCTAAATTTTTCTCTTTTCGATTTGGACTCAACATTCAATGAACGATAAACAAGCTTTTTTTCAATTTCAGCATTTGGATCATAACCAGGACCCTGTATTGCGTGTCGCTGAAATAATATTTTTTAATTAAAAACTCGTAAAGAACAATTTATTGCTATGGCAAGCAAGCATTAAATTACTTTGAGTCAAGATTCAAAGCATACAAAAATGTAACTTAATGCGTATTACAGATTAAAAGTATTATATTCTACAAGTATCTGCTTACAGTATGAATCTTCATTATTATAAAATTTGAATAAAAATATTTGAAAACTTGTACAATAGTAATGTAATAATTTATTACCCGTTCCCAACTGTCATCATCTGGTAAAACTTCTGCTAATTGTCTCATAGCTTCTTCGGGACTTAGAACGTTGGCAAAACATTTTTTGTCTTCTTGAGTATATACTTGCTGTTGTACAGTCGCATTGTTAGGACAATTTTTACAATGATGCTGTCATATGAAATTAAATGCGTATAAAACAAAATATTCTAAAATGTTTTAACAATTGAATGTAGCAAAAATAATACGAAAATACTTTACCAGTATCTCGTTGACGTCGTAAATATGTAAAGGATTATATGGACATACTGATTTTCCCATCATTGTTTGATTTTTGATACATTTAGTTAAATGAAATTGCATACGGCTTGCATTAATTCGATGACTTGGTTCAAAAGGGCAGGTAAGTCTTGTATCTTCCATTTTTATTTGTACCAATCTGCTTAAATAAACACGAAATAATTAAACATATAAAGTTCCCGATATTAATTCGAGAAATACAAAACACGTGAATTATGATTTTATAGTTTGTAAAATAAAATTATTTGTAATAATCTCTAATTTTAAGCTTTATATGTATTTATTCGAATGTATTATACCTTGTCAGTGAAGAACAAAGAGAAATATTTGTCGCGTAAAATAAACAACACTTCCGATCACTTTGGGCTGCTTTCGACAACTAAGCTGAATGGGAACGCTTCTTTGAAATGTTTACATGTTGAGTTTCTTCTCCTTCTACCAATGACCGTTCAGGATATGTTTTAAGAGAAAGGGAAGTCTCCAGACCAAGCATAATTTTTTTTATCATTGCCTAATTGATAAATTGATTAAAATAATTTACATACACAGCAAAAACAAAATTTTTATTACATATTTTGTCGATGTGAAAATTTTACTCGAGTATGAAAATTATAACAAAAACATTATTTTAAAGGATTAATTAAATAATTGTAACAGCTTTTTATATACGTCAGCACAGGATGTGTATACCAAATGCTTGAGAGTTTTATAATTAATTAATGCATTTTATTTTTTTTTATTGATCTGACATTTTATGTTAGAAGCATTTTCATTAAAAAACGTAAAAAAGAATTTTCAATGTTTTAAACATATTATTATTTAAACAAAATACAGTACAGTACACTACAATATTTTACACGTAAAATCGTGACGAATTTATTTATTTTTTTTAATTATTATTCTCATCATTACTATCATCAGCAGGCAGAAAAACTATGTTTTTAAATATTTTAATAAGTTCGTTTTTTTGTTCTTCATTTTTTTTTTTCCTTTTGCCGCAAAATTTGTAATTCTTTTTTAATAGCAACTTCGTCTGCTTTTAATTTTTTTAATTTTTCATAAAGCTCAGCAATTCCAATATCTTTGGTTGCCAAAGACTTTGGTTGATTAGCACAATGTGAGCTCAAATCCTTTGAATTGGTATCACTTGTAATTGTATGATCTGATTCTGAGTTTATCATTCCAACAACTTCAGAAGAGATCTTATCTGTTTTATGTATTTCCATTCTTTGAATACAAGGCTCTTCCATGGGCGTTTTAACTATCGATGTTCGTAACGTTTCAATGGCCGGACGTCTAAGAGGCTTTGGATGAAATATCTAATACGTTACAATATTTACATTAAATTTTAACAATTCAACAACTTACAAGAACGGAACGAGATTACTTACTTCTTTTTCTAGTTGACTTTCGGCAGCTATTTCAAAATAATCTTTTGAAGAAGTAGTACCATTTTCTTCAAGTGTAGTTGTAGAATGACAAGCAGCATTCTTCATTGAAGATGCATTATTAAGTGAAAGATCATCCTTATTTTTGTAAACATTTTCTTGGATTAATGCATCATTTATGCTAAGAAAACGATTACCGTTCTGCTATTAACAGAAATAATCATTGAATGAGAATAATTACTGAAATAAAGCTAATATTATGGCATCATTACTATTATTATAATAATAGCAATAATCATATTGAAATTTGTGAATGATTATTGATATGTTGATTCTTTAATGGAAAAATAGAATCAGCAGCATTTAAATGTTTTGTTTTACATTCCTGAAAATGTTTCCAATCAAAATCATAGATATTCAGTGTCATTTTAGAATTATCATCAAATGCACATTACAAGAGGATTTACCATACATTTTGATTAATTCTTAAAAAGTAATGAATAGTCTCAAATATTTGTTTATAAATATGCAAAAAAAGATACAATAAATTTCTTACTCTTAATTCCGGTAGTTTTTCTTCAATAGTTATATTAGGTTTAGGATGATTGATAGAGCTTCGTATTGGAAAACCATCGTTATTTGAAGAATTTTGTTTACATTTGTTAGTAGTTTTTTGATTCAGTATATTTTTACCATTGGGACAAGTATCACAATGCTCCTATAACATGAAAAAAAACTGTTGATTGAAAATGATTTTTTAAATCAATAATCATAGAAAAATACCAATATCTGTGAAGCATCAACTTGATGTTGTCGGTTGTATGGACACTTAGTAAGTCCATTCATGGAACGACTTTTTATACATTTTTTAAGATGCTTCTGTAATCCTCCCACCAAAATTCTATGATTTCTATCCAATGGGCACGTTAAATAGAAACTATTTTCCATTCTAGCTTAAGCTTTTAAATGTTTGACAAAAAATATTTAATCAATAATTTTGTAATTATTATGATAAAAAACACAATTTACACTAAATTGATAAATACTCTTATTCTACTTAATTATCATGTCTCACTTTACAAGACTAGGAATGTCTGCGTTCTGATCCTTTATTACGTTAAGTATTTCTAAAACGCAGATTCTCACAATGTAGTATTAATATTCTAACGGGTAATCATCGGTAATATTCTAACGGGTAATCAATATTTAGTCATGAAACGATTTTATCTTTGGGAATTTATAAACATTTGTGATCACTGTTTTCCTGAAGGTCAACTCGATTTTAGGAAAACACCAATCATCACCTATATTAAATGTTTATCAATCGCAATAAAAAAAATCTAATACTACTTATAAATAATTCTTCCATCAAACTAAATTAAAGAAATGTTTATATTTTTTTTATTAAGTGTGCATGATATTGAAAAAGTTCTCAATTACAAAGAATAAGACAATTGTTTTTAGATGTCAAGTAAAACGCAATTCAGTTGACGTTATTTAATACACAGAAATTATTCGATAATTTCTTAGAAATATCTCTTATGTTATTTTTTATTTATTTTATCGTTGTAAGTTTCGTAGAAAAATCGTTGAAATAAAAAAAAAAACTTTACAATATAGTAAATACTCTTAAGTACCAAAGTAATATAATAAAAAAAAATTAATCTACACTTTCATAACTACAGTCTTTAACATCGTAGTGACTTTAAGATTGACTTATTTTTTTTGACGCCACTTTTCTTTGACTATAAATACGCATAATTCCTCTTCCAAGTGCTCGTGTATTACTTGAATTTGCTGATGATCCTGGAATTGGAGGTGATGATGTTAGTGGTGTCATAAATGGTCTAACATATTGGAAATTGCTAGACTTTTTTTCTAATTTATAATTAGAATTATTACCAGCTGGTTTGTTAGATTTATCAATATTATTGCCGATATCAGTATTGACTTCTTCAATACAAGCAGTTATATTTGTGTTTTTTTTATTATTATTATTGGTACGATAATTATTACTAGTATTCATGTAAACAGCGATACTCTTGAGGATTTCAATAAGCTCTTTTTTTTCGTCCCCAATTTCTTTTTCCTTTTGTCGTAAAATTTGCATTTCTTTTGCAATAGTAACTTCTTTTTCTTCTAAGGCTTCCAATTTTCGATAAATCTCACCATAGTCGATATTGTTGATTTCCAATGATTCTGGTTCATTCCAAAAATTCACGCTTAAATTTTTCGAATCAGCATCATTTGTTATCGTATGGTGATTTTCAAAAGTAATGCTCTTTTCCAGAGCATTTAGAAGAGGGTTTTTATTTTCTCCTAATTTTTCAGTTCCTCCATTTGGTGCATTTATGGATGTTTCGGACTTTTCATTTTCTGGAAGTCTCAAAGATTTTGGAAGTGTCTAAAATAACACAATGTTTCAATTTTTTTGAATCGTCATAAATAAACTAAGCATCAATAAAGTGAAAAGTTAAAAAACAACTTACTTTTATTTTCGTTTCAGTATTTGAATGAATAGTATTACTATACACCGTTTCAGCTACAGAATCACGAGCATAAGTTGATGTTGAAGAAACATTGTTTGACGAATCAGCCTTATTTTCACGAGTATTTGCCTGCGTTAGCACGTCTTTAATGCTAGGACAAATAATGCAGTGCCCCTATCATGTGTGTATAAATTATTATTTTTTAGAATAGTTTTTAAAACAAGACAAATAATTAAAATAATAAAAAAATACCACTATTTCAGAAGCATCAATAATATGTTGAATGTTGAATGGACAAATAGTGGGCCCAGTCGCGGAATGACTTTTCATACATTTTAAAAGATGACCCTGTAATCGGCTCATCATAATTTTATGACTTTTATTGAACGGACATATCACAAATGGATCTTCCATCTTAATGGAGGTTGTTTGGTCCTTAAATATATAATTTATCTTTAAAATCTCGATATTTTTCATAGTAAAGTCAAAATTTATTTCTAATTCATTCTACTATTTTTTATAATTTATTTTATCTTACCTTTATAGAATAAAAATGTTTACTTTTTTGTTTTATATTCGCAAGTGCGTCACAGTACTAAATGTATATGTACGTTGATTGAGATAAAGAAAATTTAATCTCATTAAGGGGGGTAGGTTTAGCCAAAACAAAGGAGCGATCTCTTCTTTTGATTATCACAACCGGCTCTTGATCGATACGCAGTTCAAAATGATTACTAATTTTGTTTTTAGTATTGATTATCAAAATACAACAGATAATATGGAAAAATTATTTATTCAAAAATCAAATTCTCAATATGAACAAAGAAATATTGTTAACAATTTATTGTTAAAACTTTCCTAGTTATCAATAATTTTGAATACACGTTTTGAATTACTAGCAGCGTTTGGTTTTGAGATTTATAGATGTCGTAATATTCTGTCGCCCGAAAAATTCATGAAAATGAAGCCAACTATTCTGTTGTAAACGGGATTAGATGGAATTTGAACTGTTTCATTCCGTTCCCTATATGTATTGTTTTCAATTTTTCTAATGTGAAAGAAATTTGATTTATTTATAAATGTTTAATGTTAATAACATGATCACAGTGATTGCAAAAGTTCATTAAAATTTTGGTGTATCATACATCAAGTATTTAACTGAACATTGAATTATTTACACTAAGAATCCATTCCGTGATTATTGCTGGCGAAAAAATTATATGAAGAAATTTTTTAACCTCTAATGTGATGATATAGTTTTAATATTTACTCAATATTAATTTCTATTAAATCAATTATAATAGTAAATTCATCTTATAATTACTATTTGCTTTTTTAGTCAGTAAAAAATAATTATGGCGGAACCGCCTAAAGCATTGCCAAGTCTTTTAAGCTTGAAAGTATCAGTTCCACCAGATATGCAGCAGAATCATGGTTCTAATGAAGAAAAAGAGAGAGAAAATGATGAAGAAGTCCAATTACCAGCAGCCTTAGAACAAGCATTAGCATTTAAAACTGAACGAGCAAAAGAAGTTGGAGCTGATCCAAATGATATATCAGTACCCGGCACATCTCCTACCCATGAAGGCACTCGTGAAGATCCATCTTTAGATTTTACAATAGAAACAGAAACAACAAACACAAATGTTGAAAAATCTGATGCAAAATCTAATAAAACCAAGAAAAAGAAAAAAAAGAAGAAAAAGAAGCATTCTGATGAAAAGATAATTGATTTTAATAAAAAGACTGTAGAATCGGAAAATTCTGTACCTAAAGATGACATAGAAGTAGAATATATTCAAGAAATTCCAACAGTAGCTGATTTAGAACCTATGTATCGTCAATTTGCAAGAGTATTTGAAGCATTTAGACTCGTAGAACCTGATGGTCAGACGGATAAAGATAAAGGTGAAGCCATTGGACAGTATCCACCTACTGTCCCATTGTCAATGGTACCCAGTAAAGTGCCTTTAATTGATGATTTTGATGAAGAAGCTAATCAACATCAACAGGCTCAAAATGTCGGTGAAAATGGAGCTCCAAGACTCTCTAAACGCAAATTAAAGAGATTAACAAGGTTGAGTGTGGCTGAATTAAAACAACTTGTTGGTAGACCTGATGTAGTTGAAATGCATGATGTCACTGCGCGGGATCCAAAGTTGTTAGTTCAGTTAAAAGCACATAGAAATACGGTACCGGTTCCCAGACATTGGTGTTTCAAAAGAAAATATCTTCAAGGCAAACGAGGTATAGAGAAGCCTCCATTTGACCTTCCAGACTTTATCAAACGCACAGGAATCACAGAAATGAGAGCAAGTCTTCAAGAAAGGGATGATGGACGAACTCTCAAAGCAAAAATGCGAGAACGAGCACGACCCAAACTTGGAAAAATCGATATTGATTATCAAAAGCTACACGATGCTTTTTTTAAATGGCAGACAAAACCTAGGATGACTATTCATGGTGATCTTTATTATGAAGGTAAAGAGTTTGAAACAAGATTAAAAGAAAAGAAACCTGGGGAATTATCTGATGAATTGAGGACGGCTTTGGGCATGCCTATTGGCCCTAATTGTCATAAAGTGCCACCTCCGTGGCTTATAGCTATGCAACGATATGGTCCACCTCCAAGCTACCCAAATTTAAAAATTCCTGGGTTAAATGCTCCTATTCCCGAAGGCTGTGCTTTTGGATATCATGCAGGTGGTTGGGGTAAACCGCCAGTTGATGAAACTGGTAGACCTTTGTATGGTGATGTATTCGGAATTGCAAGAGCACCAGGTAGTGATGCTCTCGATGAAGAAGTTGATCGTGGAATGTGGGGTGAACCAGAATCAGAATCATCAGGAGAAGAAGATGAAGACGATGAAGGAGAAGAAGGGGATGAAGGTGATGGTGATGGTAAAGAAGCAGATGGAGATGCTAGTGGTTTAGTAACACCTGGAGCAGAAGGATTGATAACTCCAAGTGGAATTGCATCAATTCCTGCTGGCTTAGAAACTCCAGAAACTATCGAATTGAGGAAGAAAAAGATTGAGAGTGAAATGGAAGGTGGTGATACTCCAGCACTGTATACTGTTCTTCAAGAAAGAAGAACAGAAGGGCTTGGGGCCAGTATGATGGGAAGTACCCATGTGTATGATATGACTGGTGCTGGTGGTCAAGCTCCTCCATCTGTCATAGCTGCTGCGAGACGAGGAATAAGTGGGTCAACTTCTGAATCAAGAGTTGAAAAAGATGGAACTGTTGAAGTTGCTTTAGATCCTAGTGAGCTTGATCTCGACTCTGAAGCTATGGCTTCACGGTATGAGGAAACTATGCGATCAAGGCAAGCCCATCTCAGACGTGAAGACCTCTCAGATATGTTACAAGATCATGTTCAACGTCAAAAGGTAAATTGTTTTATTATTATTTATTATATTGTTTGCAAAATTAATTTCTTTTGGATTTTATTACTAAATATAATTTTTTTCACAGAGTAAGAGAAAACGACAGCAAGGGCAAGAAACGAAATCTTCAAAGAAATATAAAGAATTCAAATTCTAAGTCAATTAATGGGTGGACTCTTATACTTTATATTATATTAATTGTGTACGTATTTTCCATTTTATTTAAATAAATATCTTGGGTGCAATAATAAACAATCATATGAATAATTGATTCAGATTTTATTATAAAAATTTATAAATAGTATTAATTCTTATTTAATGATTGAACCACAATATTTTTAGAATTTTACACTAAATGCTTTTTGGTTGATATTTTTGAACGAATCATTGATAAATCTAACGTCATTAATGGATTTGATAGATAGTAAAGAACTAAAAATAAACATGGTAATGTTACAGCTATTGTGTAGCGACTTATAGCAGTCCCGATGTCTAACCAGCTTCCTTGTGAAGTAACACTGAACATTAAAGGCAATGATAAACAGTCACCGAGTAATAGGACAGCTAAGAATATTGACGAAGATGCTAAAACGTGGCTTGCACATCCCACCAGCACTAAAGGTATTGCTAATTTTAATAAAATTAATGCTGACATAGTAAAAGGTGAAAATACTGTGATGAAGTATCGTGTCCACATTGGATCGAATGAACTAATACTGGCCATGTTACCTGTGCCAAAAAATGATAGCAGTATATACAGCATCTATTTAATTTAGTAAAGGATAAATCAAAAAGCTGTCAATTATTAAAATATTTCAAAAATTTAAAAAAAATTTTAAAGGATACAAAGTATGCAGCTATGACTAGATCTTCTAGAGTCAATAATTTGTGATTATTTTTATTGACTCCTGATACTGTTCGATTTCTCTCAAGAGCTTTTAGTAAAGCAATTAAATGCACAGCAAGCAGTATGTAAACTTGTGGTTCATAGGAAGCTGATAACAAGGTTAGAGGACAGAGTAATCCCAGTGTAACTCCAGCTAATCTTGTTCCTTTATTTGTTGAAGAGTAAAGACAGATGCATATCGGACTAGTGATCAGAATAATCCAAGATAAACCTTTTCGACCATCAATAAATTCAGTTATAATCAATGAAACTATCAACAGTCTTATTAATTCTATTATTAATAATTCCATCGTCTTTTTCAGTAAAATAATAGTTCCAAGGACCAGGCTTATTAATCTGTATTAAATAATCAAAATAAAATAGATTTTTTTTACAATTGATGTATTTTTTATTAATTTAAAATATAATCAATAAATTTCTACTTACACCATCGCTGTTTGAGGATTTGGTTTTACTGTAGGAAATGCTGGATACATCGCTAGAGCTCCAGCAGTTAACAAAAGAGCTTTAGGAGTATCTTTAATTAATATTTTCTGCATTATTGCAGTAATTATCATAGCTAAGCTAAAGAATAATTTGTTAATTAGTCCAACAGACATTACTATTATTAATACTATTACACTGCTTATTATTATTGGTGCAGTTTTATTGTCTTTCACATGGAAAGTTGGTGATAAAGTCAATGCACTTCGACATGCTAACCAGATGGAGAAAAATGCAATAGTGCCATATCCTAATACTCTCCAATCTTGTCTTCCTGAAACTAAATTTGACACACAGTTTAATACACAATCTAATAAATAAATTAAAATAAGGAAATTAACAAAGATCGTACCAACATGATCAATACTGAGAATGATTTCAGCTGTTAAGAATATTAAATTTATTAAAGTGAAATATTTATTCAAATCGTCGTCATAAGTTTGCCGTTTAACACCAGTCAATTTTAAAATTAATAAAGCTATCCAACCCAACCACATTATAGTTAAATACATTATCAATTGATTTCTTTGAAATCTTCGATAATAATATAATACTTCTTTACTTAATTTTAATGCTTCTTTAGCTTTCACAATAGCCTCTACAATTTTCATTTCGTTTAGTAGATTTTTAATATCATTAATCATGTTTTTTAATTCTTTTTCTCGCCAATTAAAATGGCTTGGACCATCGCCACTTGCTACAACACGATTTGCTTTTATTTGAATATATAACTGTTCAATATTGTTCATTAAAGCTCGTGCTATATAATCTTTATTCTCAGGAATTAAAAATAATGCAGGTAAGATTCCCTATAAATGATAAATTATTTAGACAAATAAATTAATCTTTAAATAAACAAATGTCAGTATTAATTTACTTCATTATTAGCTGGAACTGGAAGGCCAAGAAGTGATGCAATTAATGGAGTGATGTCAGCTTGTTCTATATCTTGTCGACTATTTATGTGATTAACTCCGGCACCCCAAACAATGATTGGAGTTTCTGTTTCATCTGTAGAACCACTTCCATGTGAACCCCAATCAGTCATCCCATGATCAGCAGTGAAAACGTATGCCGTCTTGCTGTCGTTAAAAAATTGATCAACGCTTTTCACAACTTCTTCAATCTGCTCATCTACATATTTCAAGTTACCCCTGTATTCTCTAAATCCAAATTGAATGTTCAGGTACAGTAATTGTGTCTGTGATGAGAAAGTGTGATAGATTTTTCTTGACTTTAGTCATTAATACGATTAGAACATACTTGGAATGAGGTTTACTGGAATGACCTGCAGTATCACAGCCTAAAAGATGAAAGAACAGAACAATTCCACTTTGATTTTTCAGTTCTAAAGCATCATTTTTTAACCATTGGAAGTATTTTTCGAAAACCCATGAATCCAATTTGATGGAAGATTTATCAAAGTCTTGCCAATCATGTGGGTAACTATCACCATAAACATTCATTCTACTTCCTAAAGATGAGATAAGATTAAGAACTGAATATATGTATACAAGAAATAGTTTACCTTTGACAAACATTGGGATGATATCAGGACTTCCCCAAGCCCATGTTTTATAACTTTGATTGAAAACTGAGTCAAAGTCTACAGGATATTCTTTCCATCCTTTAAATAAAGCACTAGGATCTTCATAAAGACCAGCAGCTATTGCTACATTACCTGGTCTTGATTCTGTTGGCATTCTAGTGTGAGATACACCCCACATTCCTGCTCCATTAATTATACTTCTAAAATATTTTTTTAAAACAAAAAGTAATTGTTAACTAGTCTTAATTCAGTAAAAAAGAATAGAATATGATTTTACTTTAAAAAGGGAGCTTGAGCATCATCAAATGTTCTATATCTCATTCCATCGGCGACAAATAAAAATAACCGTCGAGCAGGAGCTCCAAAAAGTGGCTGAACTACAGGCAAATTTTTTAATACTGGAGAATGAAAATTAGCATCTAAAACTCCCCACAAAATTATCAAATGCACTAACAATCCCCATAATCCAAATAAATATCCTTTTAATTTGTTGTTATTAATAAACATTGTTTCAATAAAGGATTAAGTATTTGATGATGACTATTCACTTGCATCCAAATCATTTAAATGCTGCACACGTTCACCAGTTAACTTCTACTGACAATGATAACAAAGATCTATTTTCTTCAGTGATAGCAGAGAAGAGAGATAGGTATAGTCGAACTGAGAAAAGAGTTTCTCAG